AGCATTTAGTTGCTTTATGTACCTTAGGTGCTCTGTACTCAAAACCATCCAGTTGCTAACGAGATGGGGGTGATGACATGGGATGTTTGCAGTCTCATGGGAGACACTGACTTATCCTCTCCCTGGCTCCCTGGCCCGCAGCTTGCATCACTTACTGCAAAGTTTATTTTGACTCACAGTTTCATAAGATTCGATCCATGGCCAGTTAGCTCCAAAGGAGAAATAACGTGAGGGAAGAGCAGGTGTTCAACCCACAGCAGAGCGAGAGTAACTTTCACCCAACAAGGCTGCCCCCATGACCCACTCCTCCAACGGGGCCCCATCTCCAAACAGCACATCGGGCTATAAACTCATCTGTGAATTAATCCACTTATGAGAATAATGCTCATGATTCAACCACCTCCTGAGAGCCTCACCTCTGCACAGATGAAACTTCTGGGAGCCCCTTTAGATCTAAATCTAAATTATAACACAGGCCTTCAACCGAATGGATAAGGATCATTCACATTATGGCAGGTAATTTATTCAAAGTCCATGACTTCAAAGGTTAATCTCACGTTAAAAAAAAAAAAACAAAACACCTCTTCAGGTACTCTGGAATATCTGAACTACATAGCGACAACTTGTCTCAATAGTACACTGCCATAAGAAGAGATGAATTGGCTAAATTCTTGCTGTAAGGCTAGGAGTTTGGGTCTTGGCCTAGAACCCAGGATTTCTTTATTTTATTTCAGTTACTAGAATGATCATATATATGGAGACAGCATCAGTTCATGTCTGTTGCTCCAGTATAATTATTAATAATACTTTTACTCCTCCAAGCATCCAATTTAAACAATGAAGATGGTCTTTTTTGTTCTTGTTATCAAGGAAATCCTGAATACAACTCAATAATTATTAATTTAAGACTTGATGCTTAACCTACATTTCATCCCCTTCGGCCTTAACGTCAACCCATAAACTTGGTTAGAGAAGGGCATGAGTCAATTCCAAAAACGTGTTACTGATAGGATTAGGACCATGGTGAGAAAATCAGTGAAGACAAAACCAAACCAAACCAATCAACAGCAGCAGCAGCAGCAGAGTGGATTCTGATGTGCTGTATAAGACTGGATTGAATAGATTTCCATGTAGTAGGTATTCTTTTTTGTTATGTAATGTTTTGGGCTCCAAAACAACCAAGTATGGAAACAATGAATAAAAATGCTTGTAGTACTTGAATCATCTTGCTGTTAGTCTCTCTGTCTATGAGCATTTTCATGTGTGGAAGCATCTTGTTTTTCTAGAACAGACAATAAGACCCAAAGCTGTGGACAAAAGGATCCAAATGCTGCATATCCTAAGTCATAAGTCTTGCCAACCAGGGCTCTGCATTTGAGTCAGACTTTTCTCTAGGGGCTTCTTAAGACACATCGGAGTGAGTGTGGCATTTGAAGAGAGGAGAAGCCCAGATCTGTACTGAGGAGAGTCTCCTAAGGGGAAACAGGAGTCTCTTGCCTCACATATTACATCAAGCTCTAAAGATTGTGCTTTGTGGTGGGGTTCAGTGTACTGTTCACAGACAACCATAACTTTTTAAATATCAAAAACCACCCCATCCCATTTGCTAGGTCATTCCTGTGGCTTTGTCTGACAAATTTTTCCCCAGTCTTTCTTTAGAGACCGGAAAGGCGGAGGTGGTACCAGAGAGACCGGAGTTGGGAGTGCACAGGGCTGACCTCACTTTGCTGTCCAGGCGACTCTTCCCTCTCTAGTCACAGAGATAATCTTTGAGCCACATGTGAGTTTCACATTTAAAAATACAGCTGAGGCTGTAGGTCAGTGGTAGAGTGCTTGCCTAACACTATAGTGCTGAATAAAATAAAAAATAGAATGAGGGCTGAGGGTGAAGCTTAGTGGTAAAGCATGTGCTTAGTATGTGTGAGGCTCTGAGTTCAGTCCTCAGCATCAAACATTTTACAATTTTTTTTGAGACAGGATCTCACTTTGTGTTTAGGAGAGCCCTGCACTCACTATGTAGTCCAGGCTGGTCTCCAACTCATAGCAATCCTCCTGCCTCAGCCTATGGAGGGCTAAGATTACAGGTGTGCATCACCATATCCAGCAACGTCAAAATAAACAATAAACAAGATAGTAATTTAGCTATTAAAAGGAGATAGATCTTGGAAAGCAGCAGCCATCTTTGGCACCAAAGGATCTACTCTTCGGCATGATAGATGAGTCAACTGGAAGAATGTCACTTCGGATATTTGTTCCGAGCAGTTGATGTTCCTCAATAAAACCACTTAACTGCAGACTAATCTCAGCAGCTGAAAGATCTCTAAGGCTCTGACTGGTGATCCTGTTATCTCTCCAGGTGTCATGGCCCCTTAATCTGTCTGGCAATTGTCAGAGCTGGAGCCTTGGTACAGGGTTGTAATTGTAAATTACTAATGTATCCTTATTTATATGAATATTCATGAGCCAGTGACAGCCATACCCTATGGGTTACCAGGCAACAGAAAAAACTGTTAATGAATCCTCAAATTACCAATTTAATAAATGTAATCAAATGTCATCATATTGGATGTACTGTTATTAGTCATTGCAAGAATTGGATGAGATAAGGCATGTAATGTGCTAAAAGTATTTTGAATTGACTGATTATGGGTATTCTATAAATGTGATTATCTAAAATCATCTGGATTGTAGATCTCTGAGGTTGGCCATTAGGATAGCTGAATACTCAACCAGCAGGCTAAAGTAATGGTTCTTAAAAGGCAGACTTCAGGGGTTCCTGGGGTAACCCAAGACCTATATCTTGGTTATTAAAACTGTTTTATTCCTGGCAAGCACAAGGTCCGGAGTTTGATTTCCAGTACAAAAAGAAAAAAAAAGACAAAAAGCATACTATTTTATAGTAATCCCAAGACATTATCTTTCTTATTCTCATTCATTCATGAGTGGTGCTAGAGGTTTCCAGTAACTGCACGTGTGACAAGATCATGGCTTTATAGTCCCATAAAATGTGTTTCCAGATTCCTGTGTTCTAAAATGTTTTTGGTTTTGAAGAACTTGGGATGCTTGAAAGGGTGAGGTGCATCTGTAATTAGTCTGCAGTTAAGTGGTTTTATTGAGGAGCATCAACTGCTCAGAACAAATATCCGAAGTGAGGTGCATCTGGGGTGTTTCGAGGGGTGCTGTAGGCCATGGAATGTGGCTAGGAATAGGCTGAGGCTCTTAAACTGTGTGTTTAAATGGGATTTATTTTTGAGACAGGGTTTTGCTATATGTCAGCCTGGCCTCAAGCTTGCTGCCATTCCCGCTTCAGCCTCCTTAGTGCTGGGATTATAAGAGGTGCACCACCACACCAGGCAATAGGATGCTTTATCTTGGTGCCTACAAAAAAAAGAAAGAAAAAGAGAAGAGAAAGAAGGAACATCAGTTGGGTCAAGGGACATCAGTTGGGTCAAAGAGGGCTGTGGCCATGCGCAGCCTATCCACCCCAGAGATAAGGGTATTAAGAAGTTTCTCATCAGAAACACAGCAGAAGTTGCCACTGTCCAGGGCACTTCTGAAGTATGGAAGTATGTCTTCCATACTTATGTGCTTTCCAAGCTCTCCGTGAAGCTGTGTTGCTGGTGAGTTGTGTCATTCACACCAAGGTGGTCTGGAATCCATTTTGCGAAGCCTGAAAAGACCAAACACTTCTACCTGGATGATCTGATGTCTCCACCGCGGTGCTGGTTACAATGATTATATGCATTTGTTAAAACTCAGCGAACTGTTCAGTTAAGGGGTGAATTTTACTGTGAAAATTATATCTCAATTTAAAAAGCAAAATTATTTCTCAATTTTAATTCCTAATAGAATAAGTACTGTTAGATACAGTACACATAAACAAAAGCTTTCCAAAATGCTGAAGTTTATAAAGAAATCTTGTAACCAAAAGTGTTGAGAACCACTGCACTAAGGCACAGATTTCTTTATAGAAGCAGTTGTACTCATGCAGTCTGGAGTTGAGGAAAATGATTTAAAGAGTGGGTAAAATCTGTCTGACGTTTGTGCTCTGCAGTTGTGCTGAAAAATGTGGTAGCCACTAGCCACATATGATTATTTAACACATAATATGGTGGCAGCCCCTGGCCTTGGGGTGTAGCTCTGTAGTAAGGGACACGCTTAGCATGTTCATGATCCTGAGTTCAATCCCTAGCACCACACACAGAAAGTGGGTGGTTTAAGTTGAAATGCACCTAATCCAAAAGAAGGTAAGTTGGCTTATTAATAACTCTTTGTAGAAATGCCAATATTTTGGATATATTGGATTAAGTAAAATAGATCATCAAAGCTAATTTCACCTTTTACTTTTTACTTTAATGTAATTACTACAACTTTTAAAAGTTACTCATATGACCCGTCCTATTGGATGTGCTTCCTGGCGACATCCAGACTTGCCTGTCAATTTCTCATCCATCTCCTATAATAAGACGTGTTAAAGCCTTATTGCTTCTCTAAATGTCTTAGGTTTCCTAGAATGTAAAATGTGGGTAATGTTAGCGTTGAATATTAAATGTCAATAATGTGAAAATATTTAGCAATATGTACTTAGCAAATAGGTACACAGCTTGATGGCTCTTTTTTACTAAAGACATTAGTTTCCCTGTTGATGCTTTGAGAGACAGGGCACAGCCTAATTAAGGGCTTTCCGAAACCTGTGTCGCCCCATCCAAACCCAGACAATAATAATGCTTGCAGAGGGCTGGCTGACTCCACTTTCAAGCAGAGAAGCTTCCCTCTCCACACTGAAAAGGTGACCCAGGGTCCTTCTTGAAAATGGAGTATCTTTGGCTGTAGATGGAGCCTGGGCAAAATCTGGAAACGAAGGAGTCCGGGGCCTGTGCGCCTCCCTTAGCAACTGACGCCTGCGCCCGTTGTTAAGGAGGAAAGGAAAAACAAAGACGTGGTCCGTCCGCTATTGCTCTCCGCCGATGCTACTTCCGGTTTCCCAGGCGTCCGTCCTTCGACCTCCCTTCACCCGAGGAGGTGGGGTTGTGGCCGTAGGTTCCGCCGCTGCGGGAGCTCGCAGCGCTCTCGGTCCGGCTTCCACGGAGGCGGCGGAGGTGGCGTGGGCGGCGACGGGCCTCCCGCGCTGCCGCGATGCTGCGCTCCCGGGCCGAGGCGGCGATGACAGCGGCTGACAGGGCCATCCAGCGCTTCCTGCGGGCTGGGGCGGCAGTCAGGTGAGCTTCGGCTGTGAGGGGGCGGGGCGGCTCGGGGCGGGGGGTTCGGGCCGGCCCGTGGCGGCCTCTTCACACCCACTCAGGGCTCGCGAGCTTCGGAGGCTTCTGCGTCCTGAGAGGTTGGAGGCCTAAGCCCCGCGGCGGGAGGGGCGACCGGCCCTCAGGGCTCCCAGCTCCGCCGCGGCACCGGTTGAGTCCGCACTCGCCAATTCTGTGTGCCCCCAGCCCCCGCCATTGCCTTCTCCGTCCTGTCAGCGCCCCCAGGTCTCAGGGTCCCTCGGTGTTGTCCAGACTGCTCATTCTGTTAGTGTCCCGCAGGCCTCTTACCGCGTCCTGGGCCTGTTAAGACCCCTTAATCATTGTAGGACACCCCCCAACCCTTCTGGATCCGCTAGTCCTATCTGTGCCTGAATTCCCGGGGTTACCCTATCTTACCGGTCTCCTCCGTCCAGCCATGGCTTTCACAATGTCAAAAGTGCCCCAGGCTTGCAAGATACCCCCTTCCTTTTGTCAGGACCCCTGTTTCTTTCAGCGCCCCCCGTTTTGCTAGGGATCCCCACTTAGAAGTTCTCCTTATTAGTGTAAATAAATATTCTTTATTTTATAAGGGTCTTCGAATCGATTACAGCCCTTTAAGCTTTGAGGTTGATCAGGCCTGTTAAGGCTTAAAGCCTTTCATTCCTTCTAGAACCCCTCAATTGGCTGCATGCCCAGTTCCTTTTCAGCCTCCCAGAGGTGCTGGGCTACAGAGCTGAGCACCACACCCCCATTACTGACCCTGAATGACTGAGACCTGTTGCTCAGGTTGGCTTTCTGCACAACTGGAGCAGTCTAAAGAGCTTATTATTTCAGAGCTAGAAACCCTCAATGGCTTTCCTGTCCTGTCCAGTGCCCCCATTCTGTAAATGGGAATTGGGCCTTGAACTGGCCTTGCCTGTGGCCCCACAGCTGATCTGATAACAGCTAGGAGGAGAAGCCAGATCTCTTTGCTGCCAGGCCTCACCATTCTCCTCAGGATGTCCTTTTGCACAGGAAGGAAGCATGCAAAGTTGTTATTTACCCTGGGATTTTCAAGTCTTGGTTTTTCCTCCATGCTCTGCTGAGAACCTGATAAGTCCCCTCTCCCATCGTTTTGACAGGCTGCCTTCAGTTCCCCTCATGAACTTTTAAGCACAGACTTTGAAGCTGCACAAGCATGAGTTCAGAGCCATATTCCCCCACTGTGACCAAGTTAGTCAAAGCTCCTAGTTTCTTCATCTTTAAAAATGTGGATCATAAGCTGATCATGACGGCACATGCCTATAATCCAAGAGGCCGAGGCAAGAGGAATGCTGCAGGTTCAAGCCCAGCCTGGGGTACATAGTGAGCTCAAGGCTGGCCTAAACTACATAATGAGCCTCTGTCTCAAAAAAAAAAAAAAAAGAAAAGAAAAGAAAAGAAAATGTGGATGCTAGTAGAACCAACTGCATGAATCTGTTTTTAGGATAAAATTATCAGTGCCTGGTGTAAAGTATACACCCTCAAATGAGCGCTGGAGGAGGAGCCTTAAAGCCCTGGTCAAGGGCTTTAGCACTTCAGTGATAGTCCTTTATTACCTTTCCAGGTACTTTTAGGACACATTGTGTAAAAATCAGCCTAGTGGACTGAGAGTATAAGGTCCGTAGTAGAGTGCTTGGTTAGCATGTGCAAGGCCTTGTGTTTGATACTCAACACCAAAAGAAAAGAAAAGAAAATCAGCACAGAGTTGCATTAAGAAAGCTCAAAATAAGCCAGCCATGGTAGCAAAAAAAAAAAAAATGAACCCAAGGTTATAATACTTAATAGATCAGCTAACGTTTATTAAGCTCTTAGCTATGTACCTGTGTTAGTGCTTACTTAATCCTTACTATACTCCTATGAGGTAAGTCTCATGTTAGGCCCCATTATATAGATAAGCAGACTGCGGCTCACACAGTAAATGATGTTGGGAATGGTGGTATATGCCTATGCATCAGGAGGCTGAGGCAGGAGGATCACTGCAAGTTTGGGATCATTCTAGACTACATGGCCAGTCTGAACTACATAGTGAAACTCTTACCTCCAAAAACCATAAAACAAAAAAAAATCAAAAACAAAACAATAACAGCAAAACCAAGGTAGAATGATGACCTAGGACATAGCAAAGCCAAATTAAAGCCAGAGTAATGTGATTCTATTTTCTTAATCCAGTCTGTGAATATTCTGTTGACTCTGCCTCAGAAGAACAAGTTTATTTGAAATTCGTTCTATGACACTAGAAAAATGCTGTAAGACACTATTATCAGTAATGATGGCTGAGTTGAAATCAAAATTATGTCATATGATCCAAATATTACATATACATATCTGTGTATCTGTAGATATATATATTACACGTAATGCATTTGTATGGTTTACCTTATTTAATAGAAATACATAACTTTGTATAAAAGTACTATTATAAATTACTGGTAAATTTTCATTTGTAATAAATGACTTCAGTGTTCAAGTGAAGCCTGATATTAAGAACTTAGTTTTATAAATATTTAGAAGATCTTTTACGTACATTTAATATTCTAAAAGAGAAATGCTTTTATGTACACCTGCTACAGTATTCAATCATTTAGCAAATATTATTGAGGATCTACTAAGTGCTGGGCACGATCTAGATACTTCTGAAACATTAGTTAGTACAACAAAGATCCCTCCGTTCAGGGACTTTGCATTCCAGTTGAAAGAGATGGACAACAAAGTAGTGAACAAGCGAATTTTATGTTAGAAAATGGTAAGTCCAATAATTAAATGAAAAAAAAAACCAAAACCGGATAAAGGGGTCCAGGAGTGCAGCTTGCAGCAGCGTGTTCAGAACAAGCCTCTTTTAGCAACGAAGGGAAATAAAGGTGAGAGAGGCGCCAGATGGTGATGTAAGGGAAGAGCATTCCAGGCAGAGGGCGCAGCAGTGCAGAGGCCCTGAGGTCAAGAGTGTAGGCTGCCGGGTACACCCATCCTCCCAGCACTCTGTAGACTGAGGCAGGAGGACTGCCATAAGTTCAATGCCAACCTGGGCTACAAAGTGAGTTCAAGGCCAACTTGAGCTACATAGAGAGATCCTGTCTCAAACAAACAAACAGAAAAAGAAAAGAAGTGTTGGCTATTGTGGTAGCCAGTGTGGCAGTGGAGTGAGGTACAGCAGGAGGAAAACTGCTTTTCTTATGAGACTGTACTTTTGGGATGCTGTACTTTGTCTTGGATTTTAAATCCTAATTTAAACATCTTGATTCACCAAACATCCTATTCCTATATATCACCTTAACTTTTTTTTTTAATATTAACTTTAAAGGTGGTGTTTGGCGGGTTACTTTGACAAGATGTTATGCTACCTGTCTGTGTCTGTACATTCACATATTGTGTTAGTGATGGAGGAAGACAGCAAAGTTACTTTCTTTTTTAGGTATAAAGTCATGAAGAACTGGGGAGTTATCGGTGGAATTGCTGCTGCCCTTGCCGCAGGAATCTATGTTATTTGGGGCCCCATTACAGAAAGGAAGAAACGTAGAAAAGGTAAGAATGGGGCCACTGCTTTGTGGTCTCTAGACTTAACTGATACCTTTTATCTGAAGACAGTATGAAAACCAGGTGAGTGGGTCATATTTGACTCTCTTGTATCTTTAGAGGGAGTGAGGACTTACGTTGTGAAACAACACTTCTACATTGACGTATTCTTTTCCGCCTTGTAAAGAGATTTCTCTTTGAGCATCTCTGAGTTTCAGGGATGCTTTGTGACGTGGCTCAGATTGTCTCCGTGTTCTCATTAATATGACAGATGTAGTTTTAATAGCACACCTGACTGTTTCCTGCATCTGTGGTTTCTTTGACTTTTTGCTAGTAACAGTAAAAGTTTCAAATTAGTTCATTCATTAAAAAGTATTTCATTATTTTAGCATGATCCCTTTTGTAAGTGTTGGTCTGCTTATCACTGATTAAAATTCAGCAAGTAAAGGAAAGGATTAGATGTAGCAAAATGAGATCATTATAAAATCTGGCAGTGGTTGTAACTGAGTTTATTATATATCCTTGTGAATGTTTGAGAACCTTCATTTGAAAAAAATTTTTTGAAAGATTTTTAGCAGAAGAGGGAATTATATCAAATTTTGTTGCTTTCTTTGCAGAAAGACTGATCACAATTGGTAGAGTGATATCTTTCCCAGTGATTGTTTTAAGAACAAAATCATTGTCCTGGGGGAGCAACAACAGAACATTGTTTTCTGTTCTGAGAAACATTGTTTTCTTGTGAAACAAGAGACAACACTTGAGAGAATGAGGGAGAGAAGTGAAGAGAGATAGTTACTCGGTGTTTCTATATGTTTAATGATGAACCAGGCCGTGCCAGACGCTGCCATGGCTTCAGAGATCTAGTAACAGGTCCTGTCCTCTGTTGCTTACAGTCTGCAGGGACCGTGGGCCTGGGCCTGCGCACGCATTAATGCTGCCCTGAGGTCTGTGTGGATAAGAACCTGCTCAGATTGGGAGCCTTAACCAAAGACCATAGTGCAGATACTCTGGGCCCTGGCCCGGAGGCAAAAGGACAGCTGGTGCAAGGTGACGTGCTGGTCTCTTCCTTCTGCAACTTTCTTCTAGGGCTGGTGCCGGGCCTTGTCAACTTAGGGAACACCTGCTTCATGAACTCCTTGCTGCAGGGCTTGTCTGCCTGCCCTGCCTTCATCAGGTGGCTGGAGGAGTTCACCACCCAGTACACCAGGGACCAGAGGGAGCCCCCGCCACACCAGCACTTGTCCTTGACGCTGCTGCACCTCCTGAAAGGTATCTCATGAGGACCTAAAGGGGACCATGCCCATTCGCAACGCGGGTCAGCTGGTAGAGAATGGGTTAATGGTTTTTTTCTAGAAAAAAACTGTATAATTCATAAAAAAATGCTGAGCGCCCAACAGATACAAACAGTTATTTAAAAAAAAAAATCAAATGTGGAGTCATTTTAAAATCTGTCCACTTTAATAACAGCTTTTTAAGCCAGGAAAGAAATCCACTGCCATATAAACATTTTCATTGTTAAGAAGTACTTTGATTCCAAAAACATTTTAAAAGGTGCCTTAGCCTAGGAAATAAGGCCATTCACAAAAGGTATACAGATTGCTAACACTTCAGTTTTCAACTTCACATCATCACGTCAAAGAAATATAAATAAAATAATAGTGCCTTTTTGTCTTCTTTGTTTTGTTTTCTTGTCTGTCAGCAAAGATTAAAAAGTTCACAGTCCTGGCCAGCTGCTGGACAGTACATCCGCACATTGCTAGTAGGGGTGGGATTTAGTGTGTCATTCTAGAAAGCAGTGTGGCACTGCCCAGTAATAGTTGGCAAATGTTGCATACCCTTTGGCCTAGTAATCTCATATCTGACAGTCTGTCTCATAGAAGTAGCTAGAAATTTGTACCCTGAGTTGAGCATGATGGTACATGTCTATAATCCCAGTGGTCTGGGAAATTGAGGCAAGAATATACCAAGTTTAAGTCCATTATGGGCTGTTTAGTGACTTAGCAAAGCTCTATCTCAATATAAAATGTTAAAAAGATGAGACATAAATTGGTATGAAGGTCTTGGGTTCAATTCCCAGTAAAAGAAAGAGAGAGGGGTAGACGGGACAAGGGAATAGGGGAGGAGAGAAAGAAAGAGGGAGAGGGAGAGAAAGACTGAGACTGTAATTTACACAGGCTAAGAGAATGAAGAGAAAGAGAAAACGGATTTAGGGATGGCTGAACACTAGGTCTGACTGGGAGAGTCACAATATTTATTGATTGGGTAAAGATTCAAAATCATCTATTCAATTCTGTGGATTTTTTGGGCAGGGGATCTTTTGGAGACAGACTTTTGCCATGTAGGTCAGGCAGGCCTTGAACTCACTTTGTAGCCCGGACTTGACCTCAAACTTGGAGCAATCCTCCTGCCTCAGCCTCCCCAAGCACTGGGCAACACCACATCCAGCTCTTGGGTGGTTTTTGATTGTTGTTTCCTTCTGTTCGGTTTTGTTCTTTTCTGTTCAATTTTCTTTTTAAAAGATTGGGTCTCACTGTGTGGTCCAGACCAACCTGAAAACTCACTGTAGAGTTCAGACTAGCCTGGAACTTGTGATCTGGCTGTCTCAATCTCCTGCATGCTGGAGCTATAAGCATGCACCACCACCCATGCCCAGTTGTCATCACACACATTCAGCTATGAACTCATCGGTGAACTAATCCACTGTTGAGTGCAGCACGTGCCTCCAAAGAGCCAGTCATTTTCCCAATGCCCACTTTCTAAACACGTGAGGTTTGGGGGGACAGTTTAGATCTAAACCATAACATGTGTTTCTGTACCTAGATCTTGGAAAAGTCAAACTGCATGACATAAAACTGTAAGTTAGCCCCATGTCATTTTAGACAAAATCAGAGTAAAGAAGACTTTGAAATTTTCCTTGGGAGGGACACGGTAATAGAACATGGGTGCCCAAACAGTGTGTTCCCCTCATCCTGGAAGGTAAAGCACTGGCCCTGGGGTAAACACTCTGCCAGGCCGAGCATCAGGCCTTCTCAGCACCGGCTGCTCAGCTCCTGTGACCCCCTATCTTACCACCGCGGGTTTCTAATCATACAAGCACCAGGGTGAGGATGGGCTGAGGCCAAAGGAGCTTTAATGTTGAGACCCTGCAGACTCAGGCCTGAAGTATTTAAAGGAATGTCAGGTCCAGAGAGAGCAGGTCAGAGAAGAAACAGGCTGGGCCTACTTACCTGGGCTGCGGGGCGTTGCATTTGCGGAAATCCCTGAGATGCCAGGCCCCTGCTTGATTTCCCATGCTCTAGCAGTACTGGTTTGGTGCAGTGTCCTATGGGAAGCAGGGAATCAAGAGTAGGAGTCGCACCCTGTGACCCATGGGACATACCCACCCTGCCCCAGCCTTGCTCATTTGTGTAGGTGTTGCCTGTGGAGGCTTTGTGCAGCCGAAGAGCGGTTGCAGCAGAGAATGTAGAGCTCCTCACAGAAAAAGTGCCAGTCCCAGCCTAGGTATAATTATAAATTCTGAAGGTTGACCAAACTTGGGCTTTAATTTATTAGGTTTGATTCTATTTTTGATCAGAAAACAAAGCACTCAGCAAGCCCTTTCAGGCTGCCATACATTGCTTGGTACATTTGCCGTGTTAATCAGAAACTCAGATGCAAATAAGCAGAGACCTCAAGCCATGGGAGAGAGTGCTAGGGAGAGGAGTTGTGCACTAAGTGGACTTGATGGTGGTTAAAGGCCTGCCCAGCCCTGACAATGATGGGCTAAAGTCAGTTTACTCAATAAGAACTTGCAGCAGTAAATCTATGGTCAAGATAGTAATTTGAAGATCCAGAAATCAGTTACTTTGTTTAAATGCTGCAGCCTCATGAAGATTGGCATTCTTTGAGCCACACAATTGCATACTAAGCATTGCAACAGGCTAGCAAGAATGATGAAAGGGATCTATCTCCAGAGAATTTTACAGTTCTTAAATTTTAATTAACTTTGACATGGGTCCGGGGTGTAGGTTTCCCCGTACATTTGATAATTGTGTTACCTTTTGTTTCCAGCTTTGTCCTGCCAAGAAGTTACTGAGGATGAGGTCTTAGACGCAAGCTGCTTGCTGGATGTCTTAAGAATGTACAGATGGCAGATCTCTTCCTTTGAAGAGCAGGTAAACACAATGTACAAACAAGCTTGCTTAGAGAGTTCTTTCTCCTCTGGTTAGGGCTCTGACCTTTGGCAGAATGTACGTTTCTGTCACATTTTAAACAAACTTACTGTTCTGGGATGAGATTCCTGCCTTTATCCTGCTCTTATGATCAGAGAGAATGTACAGGCTCTTTGTCATCCAGTGGAAGGAAGGTTAGCAAGATGGGCTGCCATCAATTGTCTGTGAACACTTTTTCTGTTGTCAAGTGACTTTGAACTTTGGTGACTTATAGGGATGCCTGCTTGAACCTTTACTCTGGAGGTTCAGAGATTCAGGTGAGACTGTTTGGGGGCCTACCCTCCTTTTTAAAAAGTGAGTTGAGGCAAGAAGATTGCTGTGTGTTGAACCCGCGCTATATAGCAAGTTCAAGGCCAGCCTGGACTGCAGAGTGAGATGCTGTCTTAAAAGAAAAAAAATTAAAAATGAGTGTTGGAGACACATACATGTTAGTCTAGCATTCAGGAGGCTGAGGCAAGAGGATCATGAGTTCAAGGCCAGCTTAAGTTACATAGTGAGTTCAAGGTTAGTCTGGACTACATAGCAAAACCCTGTCTCAAAAAGAAAACAGAAAAGAAAAGAAAAAGAAAAATACCAACTCCCCCCGCCCCCCGCAAAAAAAGTCAAGTTTAAGAGGTTGGCTTAAAATGGCCCCAAAGTTGGGGCAGATGTCACGACCACCCCAAGACTTTATTCTGGCCGCTCCCAGCTTCCCTTTTCATAGCTGCAGCCTCACTGTTGTCCTCGGGACCCAAGAGGGAGGAGCCTCCATCCTCCTCCCAGTCTGCTGTCACCAGGAGTGAGTCAGAAAGGAGCCCGCAGGGAGAAGCCTCAGGCTGACAGCGTTAGCTATACTCGCACACTCCCCAGCGTGTTTCCTAGCCGGCGTTGTCCTGCTCCACGTGAGCTGCTTCTGCTGCCACTGTGCAGTCTGGACAAGAGAAAGACAGTGCTGGGGAGGCCGTTACAACACAAGGCAGAGGCCACGACAAGGGTCCCGTCACCTTTCCCTTCGGATTGTTTGGTACTGGATATTAAATGGAGGCCTTGCTCATGCTGGCCAAGCACTCTACCACTAAGCTACATCCCCAGTACCTTTTTAAAATTTTTATTTTGAGACAGGGTCTCACTCAGCCAGAGCAGGCTGGCCTGTTCTGAACCTAGGATCCTGCTGCCTCAGTTTCCTGAGTAGCTAGGCTCACACGCATGTGCCATTGTGCCCAGCCTAACTCCCCTTATTTTTAAGAATCATCTCTTGTTTCCATATTAATCTGAAACCATGTGTTCCTTTTAAAACACAATGTCACTGATCTCTACACTTTCTTAAAATGCAGTTGATTAATCCAGTTGTATCTTTAAGTGTTTTCCCAGTTAGAAAATACATTTTAAATCTATGGGTTCCTCAGCTGAGGGGCTTTCTTACGAAAATGTCTAGTGTGACAACAGTTTCCACTGGACTGAGGGGCCCTGAACTGCCACCATTAGCTTTCAGGTTGGGAGGAGCTTCACCCCATGGCCCACCAGGCAGTAGTTCCATCCCTGCCTTGCTCATCAGGCCTCTCTGGGGAATTCTTTGCCCTTTCACAGGACGCTCATGAATTATTCCACGTTATTACCTCATCCCTGGAAGATGAGAGAGACCGTCAGCCCCGGGTCACACATTTGTTTGATGTACATTCCCTGGAGGTAAACCATTAATATTTGCAAATATACTTCATCCAGTTTAAGCATATTTAGTAAGTGTAGGAAACACAAGTACCACGTGATACACAAAAAAGTAAGAGCCAGTAAAAATCAGAAGTTGGAATAAAGCTGGTGAGGGTCTTAAATTACATACTTTGTAATTGGTGCCTTTGGCTGGAATGCCATCTTTAAAATGAATTGTTGCTACAGTTTAGCTGGCATTGAGAAGGAAGAATGTATCATTCTTCCCTGTTTAGTAGAGGAGAGAAGGGTTGTAGAATTGCTAACTGTGTCCTCATTTTCCAGTAACAGTGTAATGTGTGGGGAGTTAATAAAAGTTAACCAGTAAAGGGGGAAAATATTCTGGAGAAAAATACGTTTCAGTTGCGTTTGATGAAGGAATATGAACAGTAACCAACCAGAGAGGGTAATTAAGGCTACCTTTTGCAACATGGGCTTTGTTGGAAGTTGATTGTGGTGCTGCAGTCAGCACCAAAACTTGTAAGACTTTTGGAGTGGCGAGGGTGGTAAACAGCTTGCAGTGAGGTTTTCAGCCTGTTTCTCTCTTTTTCTCCCCTACAGCAGCAGTCAGAAATAACTCCCAAGCAAATAACCTGCCGCACAAGAGGTAATTGTTTTACACTCAAGTGTAACAAATAAGACACATGTTTTTTTTTTTTTTTATGACAATACTTTCTTTTGTAAGTTTTTTATTTTTCCTGATGACAACAGTCTGAACTGTGAAGTACTTGCAAAAGACTGGTCCTTTGGAAACAGCTTTAAATGGCTTTCTGGGTGTGTCTTCACTAGACAGACTTATTTAATACAAAACTTTACTTCCAATAAGGGTTTCCTTTTTACCTCCTTGAATTCTATATCCTAGGAAAAACTCAGTGAGCTGAATCTGTCTCATCCTCAGCATTTCTACTGCAAATTACCAGAGTTCCCTAGAAATCCTTGTTTTCATAACACTTAAAAAATAAAATTGACACACCAATCCCTTGGTGCCTTAGTAATAACAGGAGCATACATTTTGTGAGCCCACATTATATGTAGTTTCTCACCAAAGCATTACAACAACTGTATGACATTGATATTGGAGACATCACTATAATAATTATACTCATTTCCAGCAGCCAGAACATACAGAGATGCAAGACTTCCATGTTGACTAGCCAGCAAGACGCAGAGCCAGGACTCAGCCCGGGCTGCCTGACCTCACAGCCCTGTTTATCATCAGCTGTGGTTTACTTAGCCCCATTCCCAACCTGAGCATATTCCATTTCTTCAGCGCTTGCTTGCCCTGGTCATTTCAGAGATAGGTCTCACTTAACAGTGGTATCCTTTATGTTCATAAAAACGTTATTAAGCACAGGTTCCTTTTTTAAAGTGTTAGCTATACCCATTATCTGGAAGTCACATGTAAAGTTCTGTAGAAATTCTCCCATGAGGGAATGGGGTGTCTCTTTGATGGGAGTCAGAAAGGAAAGCTCTTTCTATATGCTTCTCAAGAACAGTTTCCACTGCATACTAACAAGGAGGCTGAAGTTTGAAATTGATGCCGAGGGACTGAAAATGGCACACCAAAAGATGCTTTGCATTCCAGGGTCTCCTCATCCCATGTCCAATCACTGGAAGTCTCAACACCCTTTTCATGGAAGACTTACTAGTAATATGGTCTGCAAACACTGTGAACACCAGGTAAATGCATTTCCTAGCCTCGACGAGATTTTCTTTTAGGATCTGTGGAAGTTTGTGATCGCCTGTACTCTACACACACACACACACACACACACACAGAGTCATACCCATTGCACTCTCTTCTCTGTCTCCCCTCCTCTCTGCCCCTGGAGACTGTTAATCTACCTCTGTCTCTGATTTGTCTGTTTTGGTATTTTCTATAGATGGCGTCACTTATGCAGTAGGTGTCCTTTTGTGTGTGGTTTATTTCACTTGGCATATTTTCAAGGTACCCCTATGTTTTATAGCATGTGTCAGTACTTCATTCCTGTTTATAAGCAAGTAATACTGAGTTGCATGGATAAACCACACATTTATTCATCTGTTCATCAGTTGATAGGCATTTAGATCATTTCCACTTTTGAGGGTATTATGTACTAGCTTTTGTGTACACATTTTCTGTGAACATACGTTTTCATTTAGGTTGGGTATATACCTAGGAGGAGAGTTGCTGCCTCAGTGATGACTGTACTTGACCTTTTGACGAACTTCCAGACTGTCTCCCGAAGTGGTTGCATCATTTGATATTCCCACCAGGATGTGGGAGGGGTCCGGTTTTTTCAGAGCCTCCCCAACACTTGTACTATCTGACTTTTTGGTTCAGGCCACCCTCATGGGAATGAAGTGTTGTCTCATTATAGGATTTATCCTCGAATTAATGAGGTATAATTGACCAAATTGTATATATTTAAAGTATACAAAATGATGATTTTATATACACTGAAATTTTTACCACAAGGCATACCCATCTCTTCACAGTTGTGTGTACGCACGTGTGTGTGACAACACTTAAGAGCGATTCTCAGCAGATTCAGGGGTTCAGTGCAGTGGTATTAACTGTAGTCATCATGCTGTACACTGGTTCTCCAGGACTTACTCATAACTGAAAGCTCCACCTTGGCTGTCAGTGTTCTATTCTCTGCTTCTGTGAATTCGACTTCTCTAGATTCACATTTAAATGCAGTCGTGTAGTATCAGTCTTTCAGTTTTTTTATCTAGGTTGTGTTATCCTGCAGGTTAATCCATTTTGTCACATATGACAGGATTTCCTCTTTTAATGGCCAAATAATATGTAATAATGTGTCTATATCAGTGTTACAAATGTACATGCATATATATCTATGTAACTTTCTATATTATAGACATATATATATTTATTTATTTATCTTGCTGTCCATTTGTTTGTTGACAGACATTTAGGTTACTTGCTTACCTTTTTTTTGTGTGTGTGATACTGGGGATTGAATTACCAACTTTGCACTTGCTAGGCAGGCGCTTATGCCGCTGAGCTAAATCACTGGCCTACAGCTGACAGTTTCTTAAATCTGTACCTTCTTTCACCAAATTTGGAAAGTTTGTGGCCATTAATTTTTCAAAAAACATTTTCTGGGCTCATGCCTGTAATCCTAGCACTCGGGAGGCTGAGGCAGGAGGATCGTTTTGAGTTCGAGACCAGCTTGGGCTACAAAGTGAGCTCAAGGCCTGCCTGAACAGCATAGTGAGACCCTGTCTAAAAAAACAAACAAAACAAAAAAACACAACACATTTTCTGCTATTCTCTCCTTGCTACGCCACTAATAATGGTCTCACAGGTCATTGTGCTAAGGCACAAGTCACTTCACAGCAATTTTTTTTTCTATCTTCTTCAAAGCAGATCATTTCTGTTGAGCCATCTTTAAGTTTACTGACTTTTTTTTCCTGTCTCCAGCCTGTGCCTATTGAGCAGATTTTTCATTGTAGCTATCATTGTTTTTAGTTGTAAACACTCCATTTTGTTCTGGTTTGTTTTTTTTGCACTTTGTACTGCACTACATGCCCAGCCCTTTTTATTTTTTATTTTGAGACATGGCCCCACTGTTTTGCCAAGGCTGGGCTTGAACATGTGACTTACCTGCCTCAGCCTTCCAGAGTGCTGGGATTATAGGTATGCACCACCACACTCAACCTCCATTTTCTCCTTTTTAAGGTAATGTCTTTGCTGAGATTCTCCATTTGTCCCTTACTACATATTTTCCCCTCTGCCCTTGAATGTACTTATAATACATCTATGAGGTCCCCATCATTTCCAATGTCGTACTCTGCTTTTCACTTACCCGTTTTCCTCTCTCTTTGTATTGCATCTCTATTTTTATCTGCATATTCAACATGGTAAAAGAGGCTTTGAATTCCACTGTATTTCTCTAAAAGAAAATGAATTTTGTCCTGGCCGACAGTTAATTTGGCTGGATTCAAATTCTGCATTCTGATAAAAAAAAATTTTTTTTTAATTTCTGCATTCTGTTTCTCTCTCCTTGGGCAGTGCAGTCTGTGCTCTGTTTTAGCTCCCAGCTGCTGTGCATTGCTGGTCCCCTGGGGTCTGCTCTGGAATTGGGTGCAGTCTGCACACACAGTTGGGAGCTCATCCTTTCCCTGGCTTATTTCTGGGGTTTCCCTGAACCTTTCCGCCAGCCCCAACATCTGTTTTCTCATAACTTGGTCCCATAAGATTGCTACTTTGCTCTCTGTTCTGTGTAAGCCAAATAGCAATGCCACAAATGTGAAAATATCACCTACGGAGTGTGTGTTTTTCTGAGTTGACTTCTTTTTAGTTTTTGCTTTCTTGTATTCTTCAGTCATTCAAATAGTTTTTGTTTTGATAATAGTTTTACAACTTTTTTCTCAAGGGTGGGTAAGTCTAGCCAGGCTACTCTGCCATTACTACAAATAGGAATGCTAACCCTATTTTATCTACCTTTGGTGTTTTTTTTTTTTTGTTTTTTTTTTTTTTTTTTTGCAGCTAATAGAAACATAAATGTTTCTCCACCTAATTACACAGTCTACCACTGACTGGGACAGGGTCTTGCAAAGTTACTAAGTTGCTCAGCCTAGGCTTAATCTTAACATCCTCCTGCATCAGTCTCCCAGACTATTAGATTTACAAGTGTGCTGCTATGGCTGGTTTACACTATTTCATTCTGTGGATGTGCTATAATATGTTCAAACACTCCTTAGAAATTTCAGCCATTCCGTTTTTACCCCCTTCTAGGTATTGCACCCATGGCCTCAACATTGAGTTATGCGGCCCTTTTTTATTTTTTTATTTTTGAGAAAAGGTCTTGCAGAGTTGCTAAATTGTCCAAACTGAGCTCAAATTTTTTATCTTTCTGCCTCAGCCTCTGGGAGTTCTGGGGTTACAGACATGTGCCATCATGCCCAGCTTCAGCAATGCAAATTTTTGTTGTTAAGAGTAATGCGTGATTAAAATTCCTGTAGTTGTGCTCACAGTTATTTCCTTAGGATAAAATCTCAAAATTTCTGGGTCAGGTGTATAATCTTACAGTCTTCTTTTTAAATCTGTCATTATTATTATTATTTTTTTTTGGTACCCAGGATTGAACTCACGACTGCACACTTGCAATGCAGGCGATTATGCTGCTGAGCTAAATCCCCAGTCCCATCTTACAATCTGTCCAAGCTATTCTCTATGATTATTATAGTTATGGCTTATAAAATTATTTCTAACAGAATTTTCATCTAAGTACTTTTTGTTTTACTGTGTTAATATGAACATTTAATGTTAAACCATCTTATAGGCATATATCTTCCATCTGTTAATTGATTTCTAAGTCCTTTCTGAACTTTCTGCAATATTTGTTTCAGAGTCCTGTGCGATTTGATACCTTTGATAGCCTTTCCCTAAGTATTCCAGCTGCTACTTGGGTATGTACTGACCTATGGCTTATTTAGGGTGTGTTTTGAAAACATTTCAGGCTGGAAGGGTTTATGTTATTCAGACACATGGTTCATTGAACCCCTTGAATTTTAATGTGGGGTATCAGGGCCTGTTATGGGGAGAGGAAGGTAGAAGATTTTTTTCTTCTGCTGGATAAATTTTGACTTTTTGGAAACATACGTACACCTCTGAAATTCAAAAATACCTAATACTGTGTGGAAGCCTTTAAGTTTCTACATGTTATAGCCTCTTGCTCTTGAATCTCTCAGTAGTAGCTGGTAGAGTGCTTTGAGTTCCATCTTTGTTCATGAAAAATCTAGTTTTGTAAAGTTTTATTGACTACCTGCACCAAAATAAAGCTCTGGGATTCTCCTGCTTCCTGCTAGTAGTCACCTCTGAACTGTTCTGATTTTCCACTCCTCTGCTGTAGGGTCATCCGTTGACGCTGGACCACTGCCTTCACCACTTCATCTCATCGGAATCCGTGCGGGATGTTGTGTGTGACAACTGTACAAAGGTATGCCTGTGTCATCTCCCTGCCCGCTGGCCTCTCTGCTCTGAGCACCTTTCTCGCCTCTGGCCCTAAGCACCTCTGACTATGTGTATCCAGTCACCACCATTTTCATCTGACTTAGCTTGGAAAGCAGCTGCACATGGAGTTTTGTTTCCCAGCTGAGTTGTTTCATTGAGTGTTGTAAAGACAGTGTGAATGTCCTGCCTGCCACAGGGACATGCCTTTTCCAGTTTGCTACAGTCCTCTCCTTCCTACCCTTTTCCTTTGTGCCACCTGCCTGAGGCCTCTATGCAACTGAATGTCACCCTCTGAATCAAGAGGAACTGTGTAGGGCTGGGAATTTAGCTCAGCGGCATAAGCACCTGCCTTGCAAGTAGGTGGCTGTGAGTTCAATCCCTGGTACCGATTAAAAAAAAAAAAAAGAGGAACTGTGTGGGCAGAATTCTGAAGACAAAAAAAGAAAATAGATCATATGCCAATATTAGAATTTCACTGTTGACTCTCCATTTTCTATTCTGTGCATGGTTACTGGTATTTAAGAACTAGGATGGGTTCATAAAATTACTCAGAGAATTGGGGAGCTGAATTCATTTCAGCAGGTAGCAATCAACAGGTGTGCAGGCATTGACACCAGCTTGTTCTGTTGTTTGCTGCTTTGTGTATTTCTGCAGAGAAATGTTGTTGCTTTTATTTCAGATTGAAGCAAAAGGAGCACTGAACAGGGAAAAAGTGGAACACCAGAGGACCACTTTTGTTAAGCAGCTAAAACTAGGGAAGGTGAGCCATGCCACACCCCTGCCTGGCTTTGCTCTGGAGGGATCCACGTGTGCTGCTCATGAAACGTCTCAGCTCTGTCTGCTCCCCTCCCTCTCCCTCCCCACAGCTCCCACAGTGTCTATGCATCCACCTCCAGCGATTGAGCTGGTCCAGTCATGGCACACCTCTGAAGCGGCATGAGCACGTGCAGTTCAATGAGTTCCTGATGATGGACATCTATAAGTACCGTCTTCTGGGACATAAACCTAGTCAGCCCAACGCTAAACTGAGTGAGAACCCAAGGGCTGTGCTGGAACTGCAGGATGGGCCATCAGCCCCAAAACCAGGTGTGTGCCTAGGGACAAATACTTCAGCACACAGAGAAGGGATTTGGCATCACCACCTTCTGGGGCCTTTGTGATACAACCTCAAGGCTCATGCAGTAGTTGCTTAAATTATTTTATTTAAAATGGTATATATTTGCAAAACATGTTATTTATATCCATTTTGGGGAATTGGTAGATACAGATACAAGTAAGATATATAAGGCATACATTGATCATTTTTGATCCTTACCATTCTCATGTTCTTAAGAACAGTAGAACTGGGAGTGGAAGAGGAAAGATTTCCTTTGTGATATGGAGGGTGAACCCAGGGCCTCGTGTGCTAGCGACATCCCCCTCGTTACAGTATAATTTTAAGTTAAGAAATCTTGGAACCTGGCATGGTAGTACATGCCTGTAATCCCAGCACCCTGGGAGGCTGAGGCAGGAGCTTCACAAATTCAAGCCCAGAATGGGAGCTTAGTGACTTGGTGAGACCTGTCTCAAGATAAAAATAAATACAAAAGGCCAGGGGAGTAGCTCAGTGTGAAGGCCCTGGGTTCAATCCATAGGAGGACCCCCTTCTCCTACACACACACACACACACACGAAAATAAGGGAGAGACAAATGGAGGAAGGAAGGAAATGAGTTGGCGTAGCTCAATGTGAAGAGTGCTTGCTCAGCATTCATGAGGCCCTGGGTTCTATCTCCAGCACAGCAACAAAAGTATACAGTATTGCGAGATACATAGTTTAAAAAACTATTACAGATTAAAAAGTTTAGGGAGAAAAGCTTAATATTTCAGTCTTGCATTTTGATTTTTTGACTAACAACAATTGTGTCACATCATTCTAGTGAGTTTCTTTTTTTCTTTTCTCTTTTCACTTGCATACAGTCATCTCATTTATACAAGAAATGTACAAGAAATACAGGGAGGAAATGGCCTGCTGACAGTCACTGAACATCTTCTTGGGTTGATTCGACTTCTTTAATGAATTATTTATTTAGCTTTTTTTTTTTTTAAACGTTATTGGGGATCAAACTCATGACCACGTGCTTGCAAAGCAGGTGCTTATGCCACTGAGCTAAATCCCCAGCCCCTTTTAGCTTATTTTATTACTGTCTTTATCTGAGGTTACTTGTTGACGGGGTCCAAGTTAGGTAAGGTAGTTATTATTTCCAGTCATACTGATGAGAACATTGAGCCTCTATGAGATGAAATGATTGGTCCAAAGGTAAATAGCAGCACTGGTCTAGAATGTGGTGTTTGGCCAAGCATGGTGGCTTGTCCTTGTAATCCCAAGACTCGGGAGGCTGAGGCAGTAGGATTGCCATGAGTTCCAGGTCAGCCTGGTACTCATGGCCATAGTGAGTTCAAGGCCAGCCTGAACTGCACAGCAGGACTTTGCCACCACCTCCAAAAAAAAGTGGTTCAGCAGCTTTCTGAAGGTGTCTTACGTGGCATGTTGAGTCTTTTAAGTCGGAGGTGACTGTCCCATAGGGCTCCAAACCTGTGCGCTGCCCACAGAGGCGTAGAGAAGACTGTCTTGCTGCACCCCATACTTTCTTGACTTTGTGAGCCTTTCTCTTTTTTCTGTCTTTGATAACTGTGACTGGTTGTCCTGTGTTTTGCTGTTTCTCACCAGGTCAGTAGATAAATGTCAGGAACAGCTGAGATAGGGAACTGGCTTAGCCCTTGTCTTCAGTCTAGGATCTTTTCACCCTGGCCGCCTCCTCTCAGGGCTTGGTTTCAGGCCTGCTGTGTTCAGAGCATGGTGGCTGCAGGTGAGGATGGCAGCAGTGAAGTGTGCAGTACTCAGAAGCCTCCCAATGTGACACGTGAGAAGAAGAGATGTAAATGACACCTTACTTTACCTACACTCACAAACATTTGTCACTGCTTTACACTGGGCTCTTCCGTAGACGCTGACAGAATTGAAGGAATGAAGATGTGCAGGTCATTCACTGAATACAGGGCAACAAGGAACATCGGGCAATGGGGGTCATCACTGGGGGTTGTCATCATTAGGGAAAGGGTAGCTGGGATCTAGCAGAGGCAGAGTCTGGAGATGCTGCAAACCCTGTGGGAGGCCTAACATATACTCCACAGCACAGGTTATCCAGCCCAAAACGTTAACAGTGCCAGAGGTGAAGAGCCAGTCACTTAACTACTGCTTACCTCAGACATGTCCTAGCAAATGGGGATCGGGTGTGGAGAGATCCAGAGCTGTCAGGTCTGGCAGTAGATAGGTGCTGTGCTTCTCCTGTGTAGAATTCAGAAGTGACAAATCAGTGGGAAATTTTGTGAGTCAGTATGTACAAAGTGAGAGGTACTTTCCTTTGTATCATTATGGGAAGTTCATTTTCAAGGTAATCTAACCCATGTTTGTTTATCTTGAGTCCTGCTAATTTTCATCAACTTTGGCCATTTCCTCTTGCAGTTCTGAATCAGCCAGGGGGCCCCAAAACACAAATTTTTATGAATGGCGCCTGTTCCCCATCTTTATTGCCAACCTTGACGCCCACGATGCCCTTCCCTCTTCCAGCTGTTCCTGACTACAGGTGAGTTGCTCTTCAAGGGTCACATTCTTTATTTGCTGTGGCCTGCTACCTTACTTAGTTTTTGAAATGTTTTTCCTTAAACTAAGTAAATTAAAATGTAAAGATTAATTTTTAAATGTCATTTTTAAAATGGGATTTCACTTTTTATTATACATTCCTGTTTTTCTCAAAAATGGAAGTCATTGGGCTGGGGATTTAGCTCAGTGGCATAAGCACCTGCCTTGCAAGTGTGTGGTTGTGAGTTTGATCTCTGGTACCAATAAAAAAGAAAAAGACATTAAAAAAAAAGGACGTCATTTTAAAAATAAGAATTATAAGGGGTGGGGATTTAGCTCCATGGCGTAAGTGCCTGGCAAGCACTAGGTCATGAGTTCAATCCCTGGTACCAACAAAAAAAAGAATTATAAAAGTACATAAAATTTACATATATAAATGTGTGTGTGTGTATGTATGTGTGTGAATATATATATATAGTACAAAGAAGAAAACTACATTTCTGGGAATACCACCTAGATAGTAATTAATATGTACACACATAACATTCTGCACACCCTACAGACACATGCATAATCACTTGATACAGACGTCTACATATACTCAGAGAGTGGACGTCTTGCCATGCTAGTAAATACATATCTGTGTTTTGGTGGTTGTAAAGTATTCAGTTGGTACAGACAGACCACTGTACTGATGACCCCTTAATGTCTGACATCTAGAATTCTATGAGGCCTTGCTCTATTTATAAACCCCTTGCATTTGTTCCCATTGTCCAGCTCCTCCACGTACCTCTTTCGACTGATGGCTGTCGTCGTCCACCATGGAGACATGCACTCTGGACACTTTGTCACTTACCGACGGTCTCCACCTTCTACCAAACACCCTTTCTCCACCAGCAACCAGTGGCTGTGGATTTCTGATGACACTGTCCGAAAAGCCAGCCTGCAGGAAGTCCTGTCCTCCAGTGCATACTTGCTATTCTATGAGCGTGTTCTCTCCAGGGTACAGCACCAGGGCCAGGAGTACAAGTATGAAGAGTGACTGACCAGCCCTGGACCTGGATCCGATAGAGCTGTCCACATTGTCAGGACAAAGCAAAGTCATGGCGTCATGGTGTGTGTGTATGCGTGTGCACACGTTTGCAAGCAGCCCCACTAGAGCCCTTTGCCCTTCCAGCGTGTTCTAAGAGCAGGCTTCACACAGGGGCCAGCCCCAGCAGTTCACCAGTATGCACTGGAAAAGTGTCATCATGTTAAGAAAGCACTCATTGTGTATAGAGCGTCTTTTTACTCACCCAATACAGGTAATTAAAAGAAATCAGATTCTGGAAGCCACATTTTCTATATTGTAACATGTTAGGTGTTCTCAGAGAGGAGTTACCTTTGTTGAATCCTCTGACCTTTCAGGATAGATCTTATTTTTAATAAGCAGGCCCATAAAAATTATTGACAAGAATTAGCAAAATCATTAAAGGCAACAATTTAAGAAGATAAAGTGCCTTTCACTTTCAATTGTTTTTGTAGCACATCCATTCTAAGAAATAGGCATTATCCAAGAGTAGGGTAAACATTTTTGCAAAGCTCCATTCCTTCCAAGTAACTCAGAGGATATAAAAAAAAAACAGTTAAAAGATGACTAAAGAACACCTCCCTCCAATTTTTGTATACCTTTTCTAATCTTTCAGTTTTTATTTATGTAGTAAAAGTCTCATCTGCCAAATCTGCCCCCCTAGATAAATTTTTTCACTACTTTGTCAGTAACTAAGTGAAATGCTTATTTATGTGCTGCTTTTGTCTTTTGTAAACTGGATGGAGAGATGTGATTATATTGTAAAACTGGCTAGCCAGACTCGAGCAGTACCTCAGCATCTGTGCCGTACCTTGGTCTCCTGTGCTCTGTAGAAATCTTATTACACAATGATGGTTGTTTTCCTGCTTAATTTATTGCCCATGCAGATCTGCAGTTTGTGTTTGGGGCCTTGTAAAATGACAATCTCTGCCTTAATTTGAGAGCTGGATTAGGAAGGCCTGGCGCTGACTCATGGCTGCAGTCTCTCTGACATTCCTTTCTTCATTGTAAGGCAGAGGGTGGGATTCCATGGCCAACCCTTTCCACAGAGGAAGGCTGTGTCTCATTTTTCAAACTTAACATCAGCTGTAGAGCTGACATCTAGGGCTGTGACTGTGTTCTAGGTCCATACTCTTAATTTATTCTTTGTTTCGGGAGCCTAATACAAGCACAGTATACTGAGCATTTTCCTCCCTTTTCAGATAAGTCTCTTGAATGCAGCCCAGGGCCGAAGAAGGCATTTTGATGACACAGTATCTGTGTTTTAGCTAAGTTTGTAATTTAAAAATTTTATAAAGGATATCAAATTCAAACTGACTCTTTGGAGATAAGATTGGGAATCAGATCTATCCAAAAGGTCACCTGAGGTCAGGCTGAGAACTCTTTCTCTGCTAAGAGTAAGCTGGCAGAACCTTCCAGACGTGCCTTGACATCAGCTAAAAGTGCAAGAAGCATAGGAGATCACCATGTGGCCGGACCCAATGTGCATCCTGAGGACACAGTAACTCTCCTTGCCACTAGAATATATGTGAAGGTCTTCAGCCAGTGGACATCAGTATAAAAGCAGCAGCTTGAATCTCCTATCTTCATTGTTAGCCCTGTAGACCTTGGTTTTGACTGCATGACAAATGATTCTGTGACCTGAAACATTGCAAAATGTAGCTTCGAGTAACGCTGCTGTGCCAGTGATGACTCTGAAATTAGCCCTCAAAGACCGATGTATGGAAGGCCGAGCCTTCAGACACTCAGGTGTGAGCAGGTCTTTGGTCAGACTGAGGTTTGAGCCAAGGTTGCAAATGTGAACAATAACTTAGTGAAAGCTAACTTCCTCATTTTCTAAGTTATTAGGCATTAGGTAGCAGCCAAATAATCTGGCTTCTACTTTTAAATTATTTACAAAGTAGCTTCTTTTTGGAAAAATCTAAGTTACTAGTAGCTTATGACATAACTGCTGATTTATGTATTTGCTGAAGGTACTTTTGTATCTGCTATGTATTATAGCAATAAAAGAATCATTTTGCTAGGAAAAAATCAACTAGTATTTCTCTTCTAATTTGTTGATTTGATACAGATATCCTCTTTCTGAATGGTGCAGTGTCAGGTCACAGGTTCTATGCTTTCATTAAATTGCTTGTGTTCTGATTGTGGAGGAAATACCAGTTCTTCTCAGGCACTGAGAAAATAGAAGCCATTTGCTGTGGCAGATGCCTGAAATCCCAGCACTCCAGGAGGCCAAGGATCACAAGGTTAGGTCCCTCTCTTAGTCACTTTTCTCATCACTAGGACGAAATATCCAACACCCACAAGTTAAAAGAGGAGACTTATTTCAACTTAGTTTGGAAGTTTCAGTCCATAGTAGCCTGGCTCCAAGGCAGGGTGGCATCACAGAGGAGAAACAGTTCATGGTAAGGCAGGCAGCAAGTACCAGAAGCAGCAAGCAAGCTTCCTGTTACCTTTTATTCCATCCAGGCTACTAGCATTATCCACATCCGTAACTATGCTAGTCACTGGGCTAACAGTACCACACACCCCAGATCCAACCAGCTCCAAAAAGTGCCATCTATGAGCACATGAGGCTTTGGGGGGGATACAAGCTATAATAGTCCTACTTGGGCAACTTACCAAGACCCTGTCTCAAAATAAAAAAGGGCTGGGGATACAGTTCTGTGGTAAATTAACTGTGGTTCAATCTCCAGTATGAGAAAAAAAAAGAAAACTCAGAGACTAGAAGTACTAATTGTTAAAAACATTTTTTATTTCTTAGTAGGTAAAATTTTTCGAAATGTCAGATTGACCCTTGGAGCCAGGACCTTCTTGCGGACAGGAAGACTGTGATACCAGTGAGTGTTGGTAGGGGGGTTCATCATCAGCAAGCTTCCATGGGCCAGCTGTACCCTGACAGCCTCCACCTTCCGGCGGGGGTTCTTTCCTCGGGACTCCTTATGCCTGAAGAAGAAGTCCCTACAGGCCCCAAAGGAGACAGAAGCAATGGGGCTTCCTGGGGCGAGCTCTCTTTCATCGTCTCGGTGTTCCCCAATGTGGTCACTGCCATCTTTATACCTGGGATGAGAACAAGCACAGTTTAGAAGTTTAGAACCCACCCCTCCTCCCCACCAGGGACTCACTGATACTGCAGGCTCCTCATTTTCTTGCAGTATGAAATGGTGCTCTGTGTGCTGGTCCTGCTATGTTTCTGCAGGACCCTGAGGTCCTTACCTGGGTCTCCAGATCAGCCCCACCTGAAGCATTCTTACTTGGAAACCTAGTCCTGTTTGTCCTCTAGTTTAACACATTCAAAGCAGCCAAAGTCATGTCTCCCGGTACTTACACATAATATATAAGGCTCTGTCACATAAAATGACTCTTCCCTATACTAAAGCCCCTTTCCTTGCAGTCTGGCCCCGCCCTGCCCGCCTCTGAGTACATCCTACCCATCTCTCTCATTCAGTGCCTTCCAACCCATTATGTTTAGATCAGGACTGTCCCTCTAATGCATCACAATGTATAGAAGGTAACTGGATCATGGAGCTGACTTGCTTTTGGGAGGTTGGGTCTGGGGGGAGGTGGTCACTGGAGGGCATGACCTGGAAGGGTCTCTCTCTCTCTCACTAGCTCCTTCCTTGTCTCTGCTTCCTGATTACCTAGATGTGAACAGCTTTCCTTCACCAGGCACTCTGCTTTGCCATTTCTGCCTTGGAGCCCACTGATGATGGACTCTAACCATAAGCCAAAATAAATATCTCCTCTTTTAAGTTGTGCATGAAGGTATTGTGCCCCAGCAACAAGCACATGACTAAGAACGGGGTTGATGCTAAAGGACTACCTGACTATGTGATTCAGAAACCTTTGGAATCGGCTTGCAGGAAGAGTTTAGAAAGCTTTGGAGATGCCAGCTAGAGAAGCTCTACAATGCTGTGAGCCAAGATTGATGGGAGAATGGTCAAAGCTCAGAAGATCAGAATACTGATAGAAATGCAGATGGTAAAGGCCAGTTTTGAGTTTTTTTAGTTGGGAAGGACTCCATTGGCAGCTGGGCTAGAGACCATGCATGTAATGCTCTGACAGAAAATACATTTTGCTCATGCACTTGCAAGACAGTCTGTGTTCCTGGCATCTCGTTTCCTGGGGTCTTCTCTGCACTTCTCTGCATTAAGACTTGCAAGAGACTGAGGTTAAGGGCAGTGGACTATTCTGGTGGAAGAAATTTTAAAGCAGCTCAGCATTCAAGTTGTGGCATAGGTACTGTTGGAAGCTTTTAATCAGATCTACATTGAACATTAGGGCCAAAAACCACAGCTGAATGGTACAAACTTTGGCTAGAAACAGCAAAGCTGGTACTTTGGAGAGTGATGTTGAAAAGATTAGCATTAAAAAGAAGCCAAATACTTTATACTGTGGTACCTCAGTTCAAGAAATTAATTTGTTCTATGATTTTGGAAAAGATGGTCACATTTGTGTTTGTGTGGAAAACATAGCTGTAGTCATTTGTCACCTGATGCAGAGTTGGCAAACAAAAAAACCCCATAATTTTGCCAAATTGCAAACAAAAGGGTTTGTAACTGAGGCACCACTGTTTCAGGACAACACGAAAGATGGCTTGAGGGCATCTCAGAAATTGCAAGACTGCCCTTTTCAGGTTCCAGGATTCAAAAAACTGCTTTAAGAGGAGAGCGCCAGGGTACCTTACTCAAGAACAGCTTCCTAGGGAACTGGTTCCCTGGGATTTGGTTCACAGTGCTCAGGCATCCAGGTTCTTGGAGATTTCTGCAGCCATGATCCAAAGAGGGAGAGCTGCTCCTTAGGATGATAGATCCTGGCATCCTCTTGATGGTGCTGGTTTTACAGGCATACACAATGCAAGGGGTCATGGAGGCTGCTACCCAGATTTTAAATAAAGGCCTGGGGAGACAGGCAGTTTACCCCTGAGAGAGCAGCACATGAAGCTGTGAGTGAAGCAGAACGTGCAGAGAAGACCCAGGAAACTGGAGATGCCAGGAACACAGACTGTCTGCTCTTAGGGAGCAAAGCCACCCTGGGAGAGAAGCCACAAGGGCTGTGACAGGCAATGCTATAAGAGGCTGCCAAGCATTTTGGAGTTCACATCTGGCCCCAGCTTGCCCTGGCTGCTGAATGTGAGCCACAGGACTTAATGTTTGCCCTGCTGGGTGTCTATTTTGCTTTGGTTCTTGTTCTTTGCTATATCCCTATTTGTCCATTTTGGGATGGAAATATTTACCATGTGCTACTGACCAGCACTGTGTAACTTTCTGATTTTTACAGGGGCTCACTGCTAAGAGTGTGCTTTGAGTCTCTGGTGAGACTTTGGACTTGAGAGTTTTCAGGAAAGACTGCTAACTCTTACAAATGGACTAAATGAATTTTACATAAAGAGATGGACAAGAATCATTTGAGGGGTCAGGGGAAGAATGTTACTGTTTAGATCTGGAATGTCCCCCCAAAGCCTTATGTATGTGGAAGGTGCTTGGATCACAAGGGCAATGTACCTGGCTTGCTGTTATGGAGTGGGACATAATCTGGAAGGGTATACATTTCTTCACTAGCTCCTCTCATCTTCCTGGCCACCATTATATGAGCAGCTGTCCTTCACCAAGCCTCTCTGCCCACAGACTATGGACTGTAATTGTGAGCCAAAAGACATATCTCCTCCTTTAAGCTGTGGGCATTAGGTGCTGCATCCCAGTGATGACCAAGACACAGCCACACCAGAGGCATCCCTGCTGCACGGACAGTCGGGGCCCTCTTGCACTTCTCTGGCTCTCTGTACCTCGAGATTTCCATTTAGTTTCCAGTTCATATAGCACTGCCCCTGCACCCTTCTCTAACCACCTCATCTAAAGTTCTAAAGTAGCCTTCCCCTCAGCACAGTGTGATTCTGCCCCAGGAGACACTGGGCAGTGTCTGGGCATATTTTTGGCCACTGTGATGGGGAAGGGGTATCGCGAGCATCTACTCAATGCAGTCCAGGGATGTGGTCAGCGCTCTACCAAGTACATGTCAGCCTCCACAGTGAATGCCAGCAGTGCTGCTGCTGAGCAACTTTGCCAGAAACTGCAGCCCTTTCCTCTGTCACTTGAGCAGTCACTTCACCTGTCTAATATCATCTGAAATAACCCAGCCAAACTGTCTTCGTAAGTTAATCCTCCCTTACCTCCTACTGCACACAAGTGCCACAAAGAGACTGAGCTCACACTGCAGTACTGCTCTGTCCCTTGTGCACTTTGGAAGATTTATACAAACGATTGAGGTATAGTGGAGTCCCAAGCCCTTCCAGAAGAAACGGTAGATGAATAAAATTTAGTCCACCAAATAGGGAAGGTGTCACCTGTTGATAAGCACGAAGTTGAAGGTCTGTCCTGTCACTCCAAAGACTCGATCCCGCACTCGCTCTAGCACTGGAATCCAGGGCTTTGGAGATAGCACAAGGCCTGAAAACGTGTAGGTCAGCCCAGCATCACCATATGTCGCCTGCTTCCTTGGCACGTTGTGCCACTTCCCAAATACCAGGACCCTGGCCAGTGTACCTGTGCAGATGAAACAGCAATTCCATTCCTGTGGGCCACCCAGGATGCAGGGGAACAAGTGCCCAGCACACTCCCTGAGTATTCCGGAGTCAAGGAAGGAAAAGAGGAATACTGTTTCTATTCTTCATTTTGTTGTGTTATGCCCTGCTGGAGACGATCTCCTCAAAAAAACCACTGTGGCAGCCAGGCACAGCGACACATACCTGCCATCCTATCACTCTGGCAGGCTGAAATAGGAGGATCACAAATTGAGACCAGGCAGGCAACTCAGTGACTTAGTGAGACTGTCTCAAACAATTAAAAAAGGGCTAGGAATGTAGCTCAGTTAAAAGGCCCTGGGTTCAGTCTTCAGTAATGAGGGAAAAATAACATGGTGGCCTGCCCAAAATTTTCACGTAAGGACCATTACATGATCTTAGCTGGATGTGGTGGAACATAAATGCCTGCAATGCCAGCACTTGGGAGGGTGAAGCAGGAAGATCGCAAGCTCAAAGCCTGCCTGGCACAACCTAGCAGGACTCTACTTCAAAAAATAAAAAGGCTGGGGATGTAGCTCAGTGGTAGAGAAATTCTAGGGTCAAACACCAGTCCTGAAGGAAAAAAAAAAAAAACAGTAATTTTTGTCTTACACTTGGAGAAACATGGCCTGAGGTCACTTGTTAAAAAACACTACTGCTTCATTGCCTTGACTAAAGAAGCAGCACAAGAGAGCCTGAGCTTTGAGTACAATGAAGGTAAGCTTGCACCCTCAGGATGGTTTTGTCAGCCTTGGGCCTACAGCACCGTGGCTGCATGGAAGTTGAGGCTCATTCAGCTCAGGCTAGGCCAGGCTGCTGTTGTGTTCATCACAAGGTGGAAATGGTGCTCAACCTCGGATCCTTAGAACAGCACTATCAGAACCACCTGCCAGCTCCTTAGAAATCAGACTGCATGGGACGCCATCACAGTTCTGTCTGGCACCAGTTTCTCCAGGTAAGGCTGAGAACCACTCAGCACTAAGGCAGAAGAATTACCTGGTTGTCCACCACCTCTCCCACTGGCCCAGTGAGTCACAACCCTGGATGCACATGAGAATCCTCTTGAAGCCCCACCATCATCTTGTGCAGAATTGAACGCAGGGCCTTGTACATGCTAGGAAAGTGCTCTGTCTATCGCTGAGCTACATCCCCAGCCCCTGGAAAGCCTTTTAAAAACACTGAAGCCCAGGCTGTATCCCCAGCTATTCTGATTCAGTTGGTCTTCCAAAGCAACAGCATATTTAATATTTTTTAAACTTTCTCAAGTGAACCTTGCAAGTAGCCAGATACAGTCATTCTTGTCATCTGTTAGTTCCCAGTGGTAGGTCAATCCTGCTTTTTAAAATTCTGTATCCCAAGGCACCCAGAGAATATTTGTTGAATTCATCAACTGAGGTTCCTGACAAAGAGCACTAGTTTTATTTTTTTGGTCTTTTTCCTTTTTATTGGTACTGGGGATCAAAGTCACGACTACCTGCTTGCAAGGCAGGCGCTTATGCCGCTGAGCTAAATCCCCAGCCCCGAGCACTAGTTTTATTAAACAGGCATTCAGCGCACAAACAGTCCTCTGCTTACCTGTAAAATATTCTATTTCTTTCTCCAACTCTTGGAAAATCTCATCTGCCTCAGCTCTGCCAAACAGGACTGTGTAATCGCAGTCCAGGCCCTCAGCCCGGATGTGCTGCCAGCGAGGGCCTGCCCCGCAGATGGCCCTGTCTGCGGTGTCTCTCCTGGGCCTCTTCCTTGGGCCTCCTGGGTCTTTGCCCAATGTAACTGATTCTTCTTGGGTTTGTTCTTGCTGCTCCCCTTTTCCTGCTTGGTCTCCTTGAGCCTGCTTCACCAGGAATCTTTCCATCCCTCTTCTCCACAGTAAGTGGAAGTGGTGAAGCAGAAGAGTGCCCACGTTTTGTCTTGGATGAGAAATCTATTCATTGAAGTGCTCCCACACAGTGTTCCTATTAAGTTTCCATTTTAAAGTTCAAGACTATCTCCTAGAAAGGAAGTGCAGAGGGCATTAGAGCTGGGAAGGGACAGCAGGGAAAGGCCCAGGGTCTCCCACACATACTTGGTTGTGCATTCCAATCAGCTGGCTGGAGCTGGGAGATAAGCTTACTTAGCATGCTTGGAGCCTTGGTGCCAAAACACGAGGAGGCTGCCGGCTACCATGCAAAAGCCTACACGCCCACTCCACATCCAAGTGTGTTAAGTTTTAAAGAAATCATTCCTAAAATTTTACAAGCCACCGCCAACTTTGAAAACCGAAACCCAGACCTTCATTTTCCAGATGGGGCTCCTGACACCCAGAGCGGGCCAAAGGGCTTGTTCAAAGAAACGCAGACAAGCAGGTCTATACTTCCAAAGGCTCACAACGCTAAGGAGGTATGGTCACACGCTCCACGTCAACATTAAAATAGGTAACCCGGGCGGTGCGAGTCACAGGAGTGACTCGGAATCGAAGTGGTAAGCCCCCCTCCCCCAAATTACTGTGATAGTAATTTGGAGTGTAACTCGTGCGGGCACAGGGGTGTGCGCCGTTGAGGTTTCCCTTTAGACTCTCCCTGGCTGGCGGGAAAAGCACTCACCCCGCCCGCAGCTCGCTCAGCGCTGCGCATTTCCGGGTCCAGCGGGGAAGCGCTTGCAGACGGCAAAACAAAATGCTCTCTGCCTGCTTGCGCCACCTCTCGGCCGCTCAATGCATCGCAGACACTGCCCTGTTCGGTCTCGCAGATAGTACTACAGTTTTGTTCTGCAATTTGTCCTCCCCATCTTAGGTTGGGGGTGGAGGATAAAATTCCTAGATTAAGGTTTGTTTGTTTTTTGTCTTCTCCTCCTTTTCCTCCTCTTCCTTCACTCCTGGGGATTGAATCCAGGGCGTTCTCCCTGAGCTATATACCCTTAGCCTCCTCCTCTCCCTTTTTTATTTTGAGACAGGGCCTCATTGTTGTCTTCTAGGCCGAGCTCAAATTCACAGTCTTTTTGCCTCAGCCTCCTACATTGCTGAGATTATAGGCGTGCACCCCCGCGCCCAACTTTACGTATTTTATTTATTTTTTTCCTGTAGGGGGGGTCGAACTCACAACTGCCTGCTTGCAAGGCAGGCGCTTATGCCGCTGAGCTAAATCCCCAGCCCCTACGTGTTTAAATTTTATATAAATGTTCAACCATCAGCGCTCTCCCTTCTTATTCTTAAGCTGTTTGTCCTGGGCGCTGGCAGCAAGGCTCAAGTTCATGTCCTCATCCAGACTACACTTTGGAGATAGACCCAGAAAAAACTAAGTATAAATGAGATAATTCTGTGTAGTGTAGAAGTTACCATTACATCGACAGGCTGGGAGGCCTGGCAGGGAAGGTCCTGAGCATAGGGATGAAGCTTTCTAGGCAGAGGGAAAAATTTGGGGGTTGGCGGGGGCGCGAAGGCCTCTGCAGGACAGGGTAGTTAGTGTGTAGGCCCAAGGTCTGGGAAACAGATGGGGTAGTAGGGCTGCCTAAACGGAAACCACCTGGAGAGCTGGGTAGGAATGTGGAATTTTTTTTTTTTTAATCTTTTTCTTTTTTATCGGTACCAGGGATCGAACTCACAACTGCCTGCTTGCAAGGCAGGCGGAGGCACTTATGCCGCTGAGCTAAATCCCCAGCCTAAGAATGTGGAATTTTATTCTAAGCATCATTAGGGCCTGGGACTTAGCTCAGCGGCTCAAGTAAGCTTTCCTGGTAAGTGTGGGATCGTGCCAGTACCAAAAACAAAACCAAAGAGAAAATACCCTTATTCTAAGCATCTTTGAAAGCAGGAAGGTTTTAACCAGTGAGTGTGGTGCAGTTTACATTTCAAAAAGATCATTCAAGTAGGAAAGAGACTCTGCCAAGTGGAATTGAAAGTTTTTTCTTTTCGAAATAACCAACTTCTCCATATGTTCCCCTGGAGCACCGAACCAACAAAGGTCCCTCTGCTGCCCCCCAGTCCAAAAGAAGTGACATAATATACAGACGCTGATACTGGGAGGCTTGGATGGAGCACAGTTGCCTTTCCATAAGAAAGGGAACAAGGAACTGAAGGTGGCCGGAAGTGATAAAACAAATGTGACCTGCATCATCTCTGTTTGTACCCCCTCCACTGTTCCTTACTATAAAAGGCCCTTGTCTAACTGTATAGGGGAAAGATGGTGATTTGAGGCAACCAGACTTGTCCACCTTCTTTGGAACTTTTGTTGAATAAATCCTTTTTTCCAAAATATTTGGAAAACCAAATATTTTTGGTATTTAGAAAACCAAATATATTACCAAAATATATGGCCTCCTTTGATTGACCAGTGGTGAGCAAATGAACCTAAGTGAGGTAACAAAGCCAACTGAGCTTGTAGCTTAAAGATAGGAAAACAGTCACTAAACTGGAATTTGTTTTGAAGAGAGAACAAAAGGAAGATATTGCTGATTTGAATATCAGTATTACTTAGACACAGGAAGGGAGAAAGGAAAAAAACGAATCTTGGATGTGATTACTGGGGCTGGAGGGATACCGTGGTGCCATCTAGGAATGAATAGCTTGGAATTAATCCCTATGATCTTCAAGTCTCCCCCAACATTTACAGATTTGGCAAATGCTTGCTGTAAACCCGTTTGTCCTCAGTAAAACAGGCTGTGAAAAGCGGATAAGACAGTATGTACAAAAGCTCATTCCCACCAAACCCCTAATTAGGGCAGGGTTTTTTGGTTTTCGTTTTTTTTAAACAGCAGAGAGGTGGAGGAACAAGACCTGAGGCAGAGATGGGCGGTACAGACTCAATGAATGAATAAGCAGGCCCTCGGTTATCTTCCACGCCCAACGTCGCTCTTAGGGCCCGGGGCGACCGCCCCTGTTGCACTTGCGCACTGGGCCCTCCACCGCCCTCTGCCAAGACCCTTCCCACTCGGAGCATGCGCGAACCGCTTGGCGCCAATTTTAAGTCCCTGGGCGGCGAGCATTCACTCCTACCTCGGCTCCGGCTCCGGGATGATCGGCCAGAAGACCTTGTACTCCTTCTTCTCCCCGACCCCCACCGGGAAACGACGTGTCTGCAGTCCCGAGCCGGCACACCCACGGGCCGGCGTGGCCGCCGTAGCTGAGGAGAACAGCGATGTGACGGTGAGGCACGGCGGGGACTGCTTTGGGAGCTGGGGACAAGAGAAAGGAAGGCAGGTTACCTACCTAGTTCTGAGGGTGCGAGAGTGGAGGGGTCTGGCCTGGTTCAGGGGATGCAAGAGCACACCATTGACGCAGTAAATTGGGACCCCCGTGTTCAAAACAGTTTCCACGTGTTATAAACAGCCCGTAGTTGTCCCTCGCGGGCCGCCATAGTGAGGCGCTAGCCAATGGGGACGAGCCCCTGCGATCGCGGCGCCAATTAGCGTGCAAGTGGCCCGCCCTGCTCAGCCTTCCGCCCAATTAGAAGGGGGAAGGGGCGGGATTCCTGCTGAGGCTTTTTGCCGCGAAAAGACCACGTGAGGACTCGAGTGGCGGGTCTGGCGGGGCGGGGCGTTCGGGGCGTTCGGGTGGTGGGTTCACTGTCTCGGGAGTCCTAGTGGGGATGCCACAGGCCTCACAGCCCCTCCTAAGCTGCAGATATTCAGACTGGGCCTAACTGGCTCGCGCCTGCTCCGCCATGGGCATCTTTTGCCATGGGCTGCAAGGTTTGGCTGGGAAGTTGCAGGCTCCTGGCAGGGAGTCCCTGCGGTTCTTAACTCGCCCTTGCGGGGACACTTTACAGGCCAGCGTCGCCAAGAAGGCCCGGGCCGGAGAGGATGAGCCCGGCACGCCGCCCTCCTCGCCGCTGAGCCCAGAGCAACTGGACCGCATCCAGAAAAACAAGGCCGCGGCGCTGCTCAGACTCGCGGCCCGCAACGTGCCGGTGGGCTTTGGGGACAGCTGGAAGAAGCACCTCAGCGGAGAGTTCGGGAAACCGTATTTTATAAAGGTAGAGACGGAGCTTTACCTTTCACAGGGTTAACGTGGAGATCTTTGGTTCTTGTAGCAGGCCACGTCTGCGCTTTCTGTATTTTTCCCTCAAAAGCCGTTTTCAAGAGGGTAAAGCAGGCCATGGTGTTTTGAATCTGTATGTTTATATTGGTTAAACTCGTTTAAGACTATAAAGTGATATTGGGGCTTACAAGCCATTAATTTGGCTCTCCAAGAATGATTGGCCTTGTAAAACCACCAACCAGACTGAATGAAACCGTGTTTTCCTTTTTTAGGAATCTGGATTTTAAAACATGACAAGGAGCTAGATGAGGTTTCAAACAGCTTGATCAGTGAGAAGGTGTTTTACTAAATTCTTACGGTTTCCAGTGAGAATCTGATTTTAAATCTAGTTTATCTTTTAAATTAGCTAATGGGATTTGTTGCAGAAGAAAGAAAACGTTACACTGTTTATCCACCCCCACACCAAGTATTCACCTGGACCCAGATGTGTGACATACAAGATGTAAGTACAGTTGTTGAATTTTATTATGGGAGGAAATCTAATAGTGTGTGTTAGGGGCAGTGGAGTTAAGTCTCATACTGTAATTTGATAGTAGTACTGGAATTGTGAGGTTTCAGCCTATATTTACGACATTTGCTGTGTACTATGTTTACAGCAGAAAAGAAAACCATGTACTTAGGCCTTTTGTCTGTACGCTCTCATTTTCTAGAAAAATTCATTGCTTTTTTTTTTGTTTGTTTCTTTTTCCCCCTTTTGTGGTGGTGGGGTATAACTTGAGGCCCTCTGTAATCAGGGCAAAGCATTCTACCACTCAGGGACACCACTAGACCCCCTTTATTATTTTGTATATTGTTGCAAGTTTATTCAGGGATCATTGATCAGTTTTTTTTAGATCTTGTTAATCTTGGCTAATGGAACTAGGAAAATGAAGGTGTGTATAATCGAAATGCTCATAAAGTAGACAAAAAAGGCAAAAGGAACAAAACAGTTACATCCTGAGTAACTGGATGGAGTAAAAGGATGGGCTGGTGGGGGTGTTGCTCAGTAGTAGAGCACTTGCCTAGCGTGAACAACAGAGTGTCTAGCTATGTTGTCCAGGCTGGCATTAAATTTGTGATCCTCCTGCATCAGCCTCCAGAGTAGCTGGCATTATAGATGTGTGCTTCCATGCCAGGCAGTATTTTTTATTTTATTTTATTTATGACAGTGCTAGAACTTTCACATTGAGCTACATGCTCAGCCCTTGTTTAATTTTTATTTTTAGGTAGGATCTCTCTTAAATCACTTAAGTTCACCTATTGGGCTCAAACTTGGAATCCTTGTACCTCAGCCTCTCATACTGGGCTTACTGGTACCAAAACCCAGTCTCTATATTTTTATTTTTAATTTACAAGTAGTAATTATACATATTTATGCGGTACACTGGGATTTCAATACATATATACAGTGTAATGATAAGATCAAGGTAACTGGTATGTTTACCACTTCAGACATTTTTGTTTTGTGTTGAGTGCTTTCGGATTTTCTTTATTAGCTATATTAATCAATTGATGATGGACTTATGGTCTATGCCAGTGATGGCGAACCTTTTTAAGACAATGCTAAACTGCAACCACAAACCCCCCACGTATTTATCACAAAGTGCCAACACTGCCTTTAAACCTGAATGCTGTGGTGTTAGTGTAGAGAGTACAACTTTACATGAATGTCTTTGTCCAAAAAAAAAGTGTACCTTAGGCTCACCACACTGGTCTATACTGTCATCTCTCTTCTACACCCTTCTTAGGCTTTGCTAACTGTTGTTCTCTAGTTCTTTGAAAACAACTTTTTATGTATGCTTTCATTCGGTATTGTAATACCGAAAACCCATACCAATGTAAGTATTATGGCAGTGGTAGTGAAGAAGCTGGGTCATGAAACAGTTACATCTTTGTGTGTGATTTTTCAGTTGACCCTTTCTGCGACTTGTCCACACTGGTTGGTATAATTGCCACTTATAAGTTCATGGCCTGCCTTTGTTATTTCATGTGTGTATTTGCAGCTTGGCAGCTCTGGTCACTTCAGTGTCCTGTTCAAAAGCTTGCAAGGAAGTGACTTTAACTGTAAAGACTGAAAACTGAGTGTGCTAGACCCTCCTTAAATAGGATGCAAGCCTTGCCTCTGTCTTGCCTACTCTGGCATCATAGCGAAGGGCCACGCAGTATTTCTGTTTTTAGAAAAACAACTGGGTCCCTCTGTGGCACTTCCTTAAAACCTATTGCTGACTTCCTTCTGATTGGCTTTTTTTCTGAGCTTCTGCAATACCTTCATCATGTGCTGACACCAAGGGATTGGGGTTTTTATCCTTCCCCCCACCCCATTTTATGAGCTAGGACTGGAAGTTAGGGTTTGGTGAATATCTTAAACAAAGGAGTAAAATAGGTGAACAAACCATCTTGTAAGATAGTCATGTCTAATCCTTAGAAATTGTCACAATATTGTAGTATAAAAAGTTTCCAATATGGATAACTCCTTGTTTTTGAAGTTTAAATAAACTGTCTTATTACATTCAGTGTTTACTCCTTGCTTGAACATTGTGCCCTGATCTGAATGTTATATGCAGCACTCTGATAAATAAACAGGGACAACTCATGAGTATCAGTGTGCACCTCTGATGCTGTTGAGGCTGTGGGCTGCTTTGCAGGTGAGCATTTGGGGTCAGGGAGATTAAGTAATTCACCCATGATCATCCCTTAGCCAGGTCTGGAGTCCTGGAGCTGGCAAGCTTCCTTACTAGGCTGAGTTGCTTCACTCTGGAGCATATGTTGGTGACCCAGTGAGCACCAAGGTCAGAAACAAGAATTTAATGGTTATAGTAGCATTGGCTTATAGCTGAATTGGAAAGGTTGTCAGTCAGCTGAGGAGGAAGGTTTTGAGAAAGAGCCACCTGACAGGTGCAGAAGCAAGAGGTCAAGGTCAAGGCAGACAACAGTTTCCAGGTACCTGTGTTTCAACACCTGGGAGATGACAACCACATTGCTCTTCATTATCTCTTGCCATCCTCTCCTATGACCTTTGGACTGATCTATATCCTGTTTTCATCTGTGCTCCTGCTGCTAGTGAGAGATCTGAATTGTATGAAGGTTTAAAATATCCTTGTCCCTAGATAGGCCATTCCCCTATCACGAAATCCACTACCAACATGAAGCACCAGTGCATAAGGGCCTCTGTACTAGGAGCTTATTGCAGGGTTTTGCCATAAAAGAAGCCTTCAGAGTTCAGCAGAATGCATAATGAGTGCAGTAACCCCAGTTATATGGATAATTAAAACTGATTGGCAGTCTAGCTGTGTGGAGCTTTCCTAGAATGCTGCTCTAGCATTCTGCGAACCGAGTTCAATTACCAGTACTATACACACACCAGATAAAAAAAGGCTAACTCAGAAATGGTGAATCACTGTGTTTCTGGGTGTAATCCTTGTTACAGGGTATATAATCAGCCAAGTGTTTGTTGGGCCAGAGCATTCTAGTTTGTCTAATTCTTTGCCACCTGATATTCGCAGGTGAAGGTTGTCATCCTGGGACAGGATCCTTATCATGGACCCAGTCAAGCTCATGGACTCTGCTTCAGCGTCCAAAGACCTGTTCCACCCCCGCCCAGGTACAGTTGCTGTATACATACATGGCTCCAGTCCAGCTTCAGTTGCCTTCAGATGTGTACTTTACGGGTGTTTGGCAGGCCTTGAGTAACTTTTGGAGCAGGATTATTTCTCAACGTTGGCACTGGTGCTGGTCAGGCTGAGTCACTGTCCTGTGCACTGTGGGAAGTTCTGTGGGAGGCAGCACTCTCCATAGCCGAGAACCACAGCTTTGGAAAATGTTATATGGAATGCATGCATAGTAGCCGCACTCATGATCCCAGTATTCTGGGAAGCTGACCAGGAGCATTGTAATTTTGAATCCAGCCTTGGTGATTTTTTTTTAATTTTTAAAATTTTATTTAGTATTATTTGAGTCAGATTTTTTGGGCACATTTTAAATGTACATAATGCTCACATTCATCATAAGAATTTGTACCTGTACATTAAATAACTTGATTCTTTTTTTCCGTTCCCTTCTCCTTCCTTTAATCCCTCCTCTCCTCATTTACAAAAGCTTTGTTTCCATTTTTTTCCTCCTTTGCTTATTTTTAAAAAATTTTTTACTTGTTCCCTTCCTGTGCTCCCCTCCCCACTTGAACATTTTCTTCCTATTTCACAATACCTATTATATATTTTGGTCCTTATTTATACTTTTAGTTTCTCACACCAGAGAAACAACATGGTTATTTCTACGTACATGTCTGATTCATTTCACTTAAGAGTATGGTCTTAGGGTTGGGAGTATAGCTCAGCAGCACAGCATCTGCCTGGCAAGCACAAAGTCCTGAGTTCAGTTTTCCATACCTTAAAAAAAAAGTATGGTCTCAGAGTGCATTCATTTCGAAGTGTCTCAAATGTATTCTTCTTTATTACAGAGTAGGACTCTTGTAGGAAAAAAAAACACCACATCTTTACCTGTATACCAGTTGATGGAGCTCAAGTAATTTAAAGAGACCTTGTCTCAAATTTAAAATGTGGGGTGAGGGGAGAGGCTGAGAGTGTAGCTCAATTCAAAGGTTCTGGGTTAATCCCTAGTGTCACATAAACAATAACATATACAAATATAACAAGGATGTAGGCTATAAGCGTCAGTAGGGAGGTGTGTTGTAACTGCTGTACCAACTTCTTTTCTTTTTATTGTTTCATTGTTTGAGACAGGATCTTACTATGTAGTTCAGACTGGCCTTGAATTCAGTTTGTAGCCCAGGCTGCCATTGAATTTGCAGCAGTCCTCCTGCCTCAGCTTCCCCGTTACTGGGGTTACAGGCATGCACCACCACATCGCACCAGACTGTATCAATTTCCTTAGGTCTTCCGAAGTGCTTTTCTGTTCTTTAATCCCAGTACAGATGAAAAGAAAGACCTTTGGCATATTTACCTATCAAAGGACTACAGGTGTTTATCTTATGAATTAGGGTCACAGGTTCCATGTTCCTTCCAAGAACTGGTTCTATTTATCTTCTTAACCTTTTTACATACATCTTTGGAGATTACTAAACTTTCAAAATTATGCTTAAGATTCTGGTTTTTTTTCCTTTCCGGCTTGCTTGCAGTTTGGAAAACATCTACAAAGAGCTGTCGACAGACATAGATGGTTTTCTTCATCCTGGCCATGGAGATTTATCTGGGTGGGCCAAACAAGGTAAGCCCCACACTGCTAGATATACCTTGGAATGAGGCCAACAGTCTTTTGGTCTGATAATATATGGGGTGTGCATGTGTGTGTGTTCTTCTTTTTGAGACAGAGTCTCTGCTTTGTAATTTATGTTGATGTTAAACTGACTTTAGAGCCCAGGCTGGCCTCGAATTTGCAGCAATCCTGTGACCTTAGCCTTCTGAGTGCTGGGATTTTAGGAGTGTGCCACTACAGTGGGCTTGTTATGTATTTAAAAGGCTAAATATGTTTTATCCTGAAGCCAATTTCTTAATATTTTAGTTATGAGATATGCTTATTCCTGTTATACATATAGTTATTCTCTGGGGTTAATATCACATGAGATTCTTTTAAAAATTCTGATGACCTACAACCCGTATGTATTGCCTTAACCTAGATGATGCCAGAAAAGCAGAGATGAAGATAAAATGCCCTCTTGTCTTGTCCAGAGGTCTCCACTGGTTGTGATGAAATGACTTTTTTATGACCTGATTTCAGTCAACTGCATTGGGTCCAATAGAATACAGCAAATGATTTTGTGGATGTCTGCGCTTAACCCTCTGTACTGCTGCCTCTGAGCCTTCTCACCTGTTTCTGTGGCCTGTGTTCATAGGTGTCCTCCTGCTCAATGCCGTCCTCACTGTCCGGGCCCATCAAGCCAATTCACATAAGGAGCAAGGCTGGGAGCAGTTCACCGATGCTGTTGTGGCCTGGCTCAATCAGAACTTGAATGGCCTTGTCTTCTTGCTCTGGGGCTCTTACGCTCAGAAGAAGGGAAGTGTCATTGATAGGGTATGATCTTTTAAAAATATTTAAAATAGGTTAGAGAATTGTAGCAATCCCTGCTACTGGTCTGTGGTCCTGGGAAATCTTACATTATGAAATGAGCCTCTTGGAGTTGGAATTCTCATAGAACACTAAGCTGAATTTGGATAAATTATAGGAACAATTAACTGTGTGAGGAAGGCAGCTGGCCAGTTTGCAGTTTAGTGTAGTTGGTAATGCAAGTGTCAGCTTATAGTAGATACAGAGGATACAGAGGTCCCTGGGTTCCCTTTAACATGTGATACTCCACCCCCCAACAGCAGGTGATAAGTGAGACAAGTGTCCAGGCTTCAAGAAATTTGGGAGCATATAGAAAACATGAGGAATTCCACTTAATCAGAAAATAACTTGCCAGTGAAGTTACTTTTAGTGGTAATCGCTAAACCCCAGCTATGATTGTGAATACCCAACATGGCCAAACCAAACCTTTAATTTCTGCCCTTCCCACATCTTCCCCCATCTTACAGTCTGTCTGCTCTTCCCCATTTAGTAACTTATGTACCTGTGTGCAGGGATCTGGGGCCTGGAATCCTGCTTGAACCCCTTCCCTTTTCCCAAGTGCTGTCCGTCAATGAGTCCCAACAGCTCTGCTAGTGACATTCCAGTCCTGTAACTCCTAACCGGCGCCCTGCTTCTGCTCTGGGGCTGGCTGCCTACATTTCTCTGAAGACATGGGCTGGTGGGTTAATAGAGTAGTGGAGAGGGGTGTCTGGGATGGAAGGGAGAAGAGTTAAGAAGGGATGGCCTAACCGGCAGAGTTGCTAAATTGGGAAGTGTAAGTGGGGAGGAATTATCCCATAAATGCCTTAATAACTGGGGTCAAGGGCTTATTTCTGGTGTATCATAAATGTTCACTGACACTGAATGTGACTGTCAGCAGGCATCAGAGTGTGTACTTTTTCGTGCTGAATCTTACTTAGTAGTTGTCAAAGGCCTTAGGGAGTGAAGGAATGCCTTATTCCCTTTTTGCATTGGGGTTCAGGGAGGCAAGTCACATACCCAAACTTGTCAGTGAATGATGTAGCCAGGATTTGGGCTTGCACCATGGAGCTTGGGATTCTGTATTCCTAAGCACCTGGAAGTAGCCACCCCACCTCCCACCTCTGGGCACTGTTTTCTTTTTTGTTTGTTTGTTTGGTTTTTTTTGTTTAGTTTTGGTATAGGGAATCAAACTCAGGACCTCACACTTGCCAGGCAGGTGATTGTGCCACTGAGCTAAATCCCTAACCCTGGGCATTGTTTTTAAGTGTAGTAGATACCAATAATTAAAAATAGTGTAATCTCAGGTACTTAGGAGGCTGAGGTCAGAGGATCACAGAGGCAGCCTGGGCAACTTAGCAAGATCCTACCTTTTAAAAAGGATTGAGAAGGTAACTCAGTGGTAGAGCACTTGCCTAGCTTGTATGAGGTTGAGTTCAATCCCCAGTACTACAAAAATTTTTTTACAGAAATATGTCTGTCTCTCATCCTAGCTCCCTTCTGCTCAACCTCCACCCATCTTGGGTAGACACTGGCTTTTAAAAATTTCTGATACATCCTGCTAGTGTGTTTCTATGCAGACACAAGCAAATAGATTAAAAAGCATCTTAGAATGCGTAAGATATTTTCAGAGGTTTTTCTTAAGGAAAGAACCACAGAGGAAAAAGTCTTGAATGAATTTGACTGTGAATGAGCTGCCAGTATGTGGTTATCCAGTTTAGAAGAAGTGTGCAAGTCACTTCTAACTGCTGCGCCTTAGGGAGGTTTATGTCCAGTATATTGGTAGTCTGTGATTATTCAACATGATTCTAAAAGTAAACCACTGCTTAAGAAGCTCCGCCATTAATCCATGTTAAATATCTCTAGCAAGTCTCTTTAAATAGTAGATCTCATATATACTGCCTCCTTACTAGTGTCTCATAAACCCATCAAATGCAACATTTTCCATGCTAACTTCTTTTTTCTCACTAAACTTGCACTTCTGTACTTCTCTGCAGTAAAAAATGACATCAGCACAGTTGTCCAACCAAAACTCTGACAGCATGAACCTCTCTACCCCTCAGGTCTCCTGTTCCTCTGTCCTCTCCTCATCTATCCTCTCCAGGTGCTTCTCTCTCTGCTGTCTCTTCGGTCCTCCCCATCTGGCACCTTGGCCAGGATCAGCCTCCTCTGACTGTGCCTTCTGGGAAGGGACTGCTGGGCTTAGACTGCTGAACTGGCTGGGGAAAGCCTGCAGAGGGACTCACAACTCTCGGTGCTCTCAGCTCCAGGGTGACCGAGCCACCTGTACCCTTGTCCTAAGCCTGCTTCCCTGTCATTTTGGACACAGCCTGTATCCTGGGACTGGGGGTCTTTTCCTTCCTGGAGGCAGCTGACTTTCCCTTCAGAGCCCAATGGCACCGACGGACAAGGCCTTTGTTGCTTGCTGGTGTTCCTTCTCATAACGCTCTACTGGTGGTCACTCATCTGATGCCTCACCATGACCTTGTGGGCAAGGTGCTGTTGTGCTGGGGATTGAACCCAGGCCCTTCACACTGCACTAGATCCCATCCTTGTTTGTTTCTTATTTTGAGATAGGTTGTCACGGGTTGCCCAAGCTGGACTCAAACTTGTGACCCCTTCCCCCAGCCTCTCACAGTGCTGGGGTTACAGGCATGTGGTACTACACCCATCTTGTTATTGCTTATTTACCTGTGAAAACTGAAGTGCAGTTTAGAGAACTCTTAACAGCTTCCCCTGGTTACTCAACTGTCAAGTGACAGAGCTGGGATTTGAGCTCAGGCCCTCTGGCACTTAGGCTCTGTGCTTTTGACCCTACTGAGCTGCCTCTTTAATTTTCACTCCTGTTAGACTGAGCTCCTTTTAGGCAGGGATGTTCTAAAAAGCTATTCTGAGTTTTTAGGGAGCTTTTATTTAAATATAATTGAAAGGAAAACAAAGATGGCACATAGTCTGTTCAGATTTGACATTTAAAAAAACAAAGTATTTGATTTTTTGTGATGACACAATTCAGATACTACAGACAAGTGCAAAATGGAAATAAATATCTTTTATTTCTTTCACCCAAAGGGATTACTGTATGTATAGAGATGATGTTTGTGTTTGACGGTACTGGGGATTAACCTACGGTACCTGCCTCACCTGTGTGCCAGCAAGTGTTCCACCATTGCTGACAACGTAGATCTCAAAAAACAATTTCTTCTTTTTTTGAGACAGGGTCTCATTACATAGTTCAGGCTGGCCTTGAGCATGGAGTGCTAGGATTACAGGTGTGTAGCACCACGTCCAGCAGAAATAATTTTTGATGCAAAAACAAATTTTTTGTTTTTTACCTTGGGTTTTTTTTTTTTTTTTTTCTGTTCTTTACTTGGTAAGTTTTGAGCTATAGGTGTAGTTCACTGGTAGAATGGGTGTCCAGCATGCATAAGGCCCTGAGTTCAATTCCTAGCACAAATTTTTAGAAGTATGTATAGTTTGACTTTGCTTTCAGCATCTGGGTGGTGTTCCATTTTAAGAACTTTGGAAAAATATAACATTGGAATTAAGAGGCTTTAGCTGGATTTTTGTTTGTTTGGTTTTTTTGCCTTGATCCTGGGAAATGAAGCCAGGATGTGCTTAATCTCCAGTCCTTTTCAAATTTTATTTTGAGATATAGTGTAGCTGAGTTGCCCAGGCTGGTGCTGAACTTAATGATCTTCCAACCCCAGCTTCCAAAATAGCTGGAATTATACGTATGTACCACCACACCAGCTTTTTCCTGAATGCTTTTGTTTTCTTTTTTGGAGACGGCATCTCTTGGTATTCTGAGCTGGCCTTGAATTCACTGCGTAGCCCAGGTTGCTCTCAAATTCAGTGGCCCTCCTATCTCAGGCTCCTGAGACAGTCAAACACCAAGCAATTCTCAGGGATACTTGTCTCTGCTATGATTAAAAACCTTTGCCCCAGTCTCAGGGCCAGATTTCTAGAAGGTCGCCTAACATCCTCAAGGTTTTTCTAGGGGTTATAGACATGTGCCATTGTGACCAGCTTTAGCTGGATTTAGATTTAGACATAAGCAGGGTACAGTTGATCCATTTACATGTGAGAACATGTATCATAACATCCTTTAGTAAATGTAATCTAAGTGCAGTCTTAGCAGAGGAGTTACTGTATAATGCTACCTGGTGCCTACAAATGGCATAGATCCTGCCAAATCAAAGACTGGGACTGTCCGGTGCAACCTCAGTTTAGTGTGCGAACAAACAGAAAGTTCTAACACAAGTGCTGATGGTAGATTCCATTTGAAAGGGGGAAGCATTTAAATGGGGCTGCGGGAGCTGCATCCCTAATCTGTCACTTACTAGTCTTCTTCCTTTTCCAGAAGCGGCACCATGTCCTGCAGACTGCTCACCCCTCCCCATTGTCGGTGTATAGAGGATTCTTTGGCTGTCAACATTTTTCTAAAGCCAATGAGCTGCTGCGGAAGTCTGGCAAGAAGCCCATTGACTGGAGTGAGCTGTGACCCCACACACACAGCAGTGGTTGAATCCTGTGATTTTTGAGGCACTGCTGTTGAAGATGTGTCAGTTGTAAAGTCACTGAAAATTTCTGTACTATAGAGAACCCTGTTTAATAACAAGAGAAACATAAAGCAACCAACAACCAGGCTGTCCTGGATGGCAGGTTTATCCAGCCAGAAGTAGGTAGCAGAGATAACATTTGACTGCTTCTGTGTGTTTGTCTTCCAATCAAGGCAGAGGTGGCTTGGTGAGAAACATGCACATCTCTCACAAGACAGCTGAGGTCAAATATTCCCTTGGTTCTCTTCACCTCCTTTAGCCTTACGATTAAAAGGGGAGATGAGCACCTTTTTGATACCTCCTCCCATAGTTGGGTGCTTGCTGCTAGTTTAGACTTCATAGGTTACAAAGTATTCTGTGTTTTTGCTTAGAACTTCTCCCCTCCATCTTTCAAAGAGTTCCAGATCCCTCTGGGGAGAAACCTTGAGGATTTTTGCAAGCTTCTAGAAATCCTGCCTTGAAATTGGGAGTCAGTTTTCTGATGGTAGTAGAGGTCAGTATTCCTGAGAGTGGTCTTGGTATGAGCCTTCCCAGACCAGTAGGTGAGAAACCACAAGCTGCCAGGTCTTTATCCTGTGTTTTGGGTGCTTCCTTGAGTAGTGGGTGGTGGGAGTTGAACAAAGGCAGCTAAGGGGGTTTTGTTTTTAATGAGGGATGAGTGTTTTCCTCCTGGTGCTGATGGGAGTTGAGGTGGGGTAAGGCACACAGGCTGCACAATGGACTGAGGTTACGTGGAGATTTTTTTTTTTTTTTTTTTTTGCAACACATAAATGTAACTTTTTTATAAAATACATATATTTTTATAATTCTTTAAGAGACCATTTTTACTGGGTCTGCACCCCCAAGCTGGATGTGATGGAGATTGTTTTTGTTGTCAGCTGGGTTAAAAGGTTAACCCTGCGCACATTTGTTAATAAAAGATTGTTGCAGTTTCATCTGGTACCACTTCTCCTTTGGCGTCTGTGGACACTCTTGGCCTACTGTTGTAGGTGGGTCAGTCCCTACCACCTGGTTTCCAGGGCAACCATCGTTCAGGAAAGGACTGCTTTGCCTTCAGCCAAGCTCCACTGCTATGGAGTTGCCCACCCACCTTCCTGGGCCAAGCCTTGGTAAGCTGTGGGCTCCACCCCCTGCCTGGAGCCCCTGACTCTTGTGTTCTGTGAGCAGAGCAAGCTAGCTGGGATTGGCTGGGACAAAGAGCAGTCTTTGGGGGATCTTGGCATCTTGTCCTGGGTGTCTTCCTGCAATATAGTGACTATTTCTAGACTTCCCTAGGGTTTCTGATGTGACTGCCTGGTAGCCCATGAGTCTGTAAGCAGTTAGCCCTCAGAACTGGTAGGATATCAGGATGGAGGTGGGATTCCCATGCTGTCTGCAGAAGGAAGGAAAAGATGAGTGTAGCCAGAGAGCATGGAGCTTGATGTGCATTGTGCCTTGGGCTCCATCCCCAGCACCAAAACCAAAACAAGAAGATGCAATGGAGCTGGGCATGGCAATGCATGCCTGTAATCCCAGCACTCAGAAGTCTGAGGCATGAGGATTGCTGCAAGTTCAAGGCCAGTTTGGGCTACAAAGTGAGTTCAAGGACAGCCTGAACTGCACAGTGAAACCCTGTCTCAACAAGAAAAAAAAAAAAAAATGCAGTGGAGGGCTGTAAAGTAAGCACTTGAATTGAGCAAGAAAGAATATATCTAGTGACAGTATGGAGACTAGCAAATACATTTGACAGTGGGGATAAAACTTCATTTTTCCTTGGAATCTTCTCTCTGGTCCTCACATTCTTTGTGTGCAGAAAGGAAGATTAGGAGTCTGCATTCTGATCAGCAAACAGGCTTCTGCAGGTGGAAGATTCCTCCTCAGTCTGCTTTTTGGTCCCTTTGGGATCTCTGAAGGACTGCAGTGGACTCCCTTATCCAAGGGAGAAGTAGAGAGACGATACTTACACTGCACAGGCTTTGTGACTTCTGAGTGCTGGACTGTGAGTAGGAAGGGAGCAGTTACCATGATTCGTATTCGCTGTTCTGAGTGTGGTGGCCCAGGCCTGTACTCCCAGCTAAATGGAACCCTTAGGGCAGAAGGATTGGAAGTTCCAGGCCAGCCTGGGCTACCTAGGGAACTCCTGTTTTAAAAAGAACTGGGGATGTAGCTTAGTAATACAGTGTTTCCCTAGTGTGTGCAAGGTTAGGAGTTCAATCTAGTGTCAATGAGTTTCAAGAAAAAGATTTTTTTCTTTTTTGGTACCCAGTTGGGGTCAAACTCATGACCTTGAGCTTGCCAGGCAGGTGCTTTTGCTGCTGAGCTGTATCCCTAGCCCGATTTGACTTTGATGCATGGTCTCACTATGCAGTTTAGGCTCGATTTAAACTCACTTTGTAACCTAGGCTGGCCTCGACTCAGTAATTCTCATGCCTTGGCCTGCCAAGTGCTGGGATTATAGGTGTGTGTCACTACACCTGGCTCAAGCGGGGAGGGGAAAAAAAAAAAAGATATATATATAAAACTTTTGATTTTGCTATGCTTCCAGCCCTTGATGTGCAAAAAGGAATACAAAAAGAATAAACACTGCCTCTTAGACCAAAGGTTGGCATACTTTATATGAAACATCATATACTAAGTATTTTAGGTTTTGAAGTCATCTGGTCTTGGAACTGCTCTACATTTAGAGATAAAGCAGCTAAAGGGAAAATTAAAACAACTGAGGCTCTGTACCCATAAAACTTTATTAGTATACACTGAAATTTCAACTTAATTTTTGTGTGTCACTGTAAATGAGTTTTTGTTATGATTTGTGGTGCTGGGGATTGAACCTCAGACCCTTTACAGTGAGCTGTATCTCCAGGCCCTTTAAATTCTGAGATAGGGTCTTGTTAGGTCACTAAATTACCCAGGGTGGGGTTGAACTTGTGATCTTCCTCCCTCGGCTTTTCCAGATGCTGGAATTACAGGCATGTGCTTCCATGCTCAAGAAGTTATTACTATAGTTTTGATTTGACATACACAGTGAGGCCAGCCTGTAATACCAGCCCTGGGTCGAGTGCCCAGTATCACAAAGGACCAAAAAAAAAAAAATCACTCCTACCTTGGGAGCCATAGTTTGTAGACCATCTGTCAAGATGGGAACAAAAAAGACCTCTGAGTCAGCCCAGGAAAGGAGAAATTCCCCTAAGGAGGGAATGTTGAGCCCCATTTTGAAGGAGAAAGCTTCCAGGCCAGGAAGAGAAAGATGACCCTTTTGTGAGAAAAGCAACCTGTTTAAGGCCAGGTAGCTGGGACTCTGCATGCTATGTGTATTGGAGGCATCTTGAAGGCATAGTGTGGGACGCAGGACATCGTGATTCCTGTAAAGAGGAGTGGACCTGCTCATGGCTTGACTTTCAGGTCTTGGAGATTGATAACCTGGGGAAATCAGTTATGTAAATATCCTGAGAACCTCAAGTTGTTAATTAGTTGTGTGGAAGTTCACCACCTGTGTTTGATTTGTATCAAGTAGGGCAAAGTCCTGATGGAGTCATTTGATCAAAGCTTGCCTTCAGATGGTGCATTCTTTCTGTCTAGAATTCACCATCTACTTCAGATTTCTACTGGAAGTAGTAGTATTGGGAACGGTTTTTGGTGGAGAAGCAAACTTTGATGTAGGTGAATGGTGCTGGCTTTTCATCCATGCTGAACTTTCGGGTGTCTGAAGAAAAACAGGTAGGGGAGCACAGGGCTGCTTTTGGAGGTCCTTGAATGTCTGCTTGGTCTGTCCCGACCGAAGCACTGGTAGTTTTGCCTGGTAGAGATGGCTCCATTTCTGTTGTAGGGTCCTTCTGATGCCTGAATTGGGATCTCTTATAGTATCCTTGTAGATTATTCCACTTGGAACCAGTTTTTAATTTTTTTTTATAATTTATTATTTGCCATACTGTGAATTGAATGCAGACCTTACACCTGCCGGGTGTGTAGTTTTATCAATGAGCCAAGCCCTCGGCCTCTATATTTGTTTACTTACTAAATGTACCTATGGCCCCCACACCCCAGCCCTTTAGTTTTTGAGACAATGTCTCAATAAATTGCCCAGCCAAGGCTTGCACTTGGGATCCTCTTGCCTCAGCCTCCCAGAGTCACAAGTGTGTGCCGCCATACCTGGCTCAGTTTTTACATTTTTGATGTGTGGCAATGAGTCCTGGTGAGTAGGCCAGACCAGGAGAGCAATACTTCCTATTTTTTGCTTCTCCGCTGTGTATTTTCTCTGTCCCTTGTCAGTGTTAGTGGTACTTGGAGTGAGGGGAAGGGAGAGCAGGAGGCTTCCAGCAAGTGGTTAATGCTCTGGAACTTGGGCAAACTTTAAAAGTATTAACCCACAGCTGAGCGCAGTTCAGTGATAGAGTGGTTTCCTAGCAGAACCCTGGGTTCCAACCCCAGCACCACAAAATGATAGCAATGCAGACTCTAAAGATAGAAGATCTGATTTCACTGAGCACCAGGCGTCTGCATGCTCATAATGTTTGAGGTGTCTGGTTTGCAGCAGGACCTGTCAGCTGATTTCCAGGTACCGAGGGGCCATATGGTCATTTAATGATTTTTTTAAAATCTTAGCAAATAACTAGCTATGTATAACTTTCTAAACCTAGGATTGTTCTGGAGAAATATGTTTCTGTTAAATATTCTTGTATTAAGTGGAGAAAGAGCATAGGTAACTTTGGCTACGTCCATTTGTATTGTAGAAAATATCTACATCTTAAAAAGACATCATCAAGGGAGAAAAAGCCACGGGATGGATTTTTTTCATCTCTGTGGCTAATCTCTTGTAAAGTATTGAAGTTTATTAGAAAGATATTATTATTAAATGCCTGTATGAACAAAACATTACACTAGAGGCTCAGCATGCACCAGCGTACACTCATTTTTTCAACTGTACAGTGAAATAGGTGATAACCCTCTGGCTGACAGTCACAGCCACCAGCAAGGTCAGAAAGCCACACCAGCCTGACTTTAAAGCCTAACTTTGCCACTGTCCACATCCTACTTAGGTTATAATTTAAATTTAGAGTCATTGGAAAGTTTTTTTTTTTTTTTTTTTAATTTTAGTTTTGCTTCCCTGGGAACAGAAACCAGGACTCACTCACATGCTAGACCAGTGCTGTAAAGCCCAGGAAGGGATCTTTCTAACAGAATAAGTGATTCCTTTTTCAAGGGATCATTTGGGCTACTGAGAGTAAAGCTGTCTTAATGGTCCAAAAATCCTAGGGATTGCTGCTTCTCAAGAATGGAAGACAGGCAGGAACCGTGCTGATACAGGATCTGCCTGGGAACTCGCCTCAGTTATGATGGAAACTACAACTCAGACGGCAGCACAGATTTATAGACAAAAGCATTAGCTGAAAAAGAAGAGAATTTCTTACCCAGGGAAGGGACTTCGGCCGGAGGAAAGGTGCTCAAGGAGAAAAGCAGGGGGCTCATGTGTCAGGGTGTTGCTGGTGTGGGCTAAGTCTGGTAGTTTTCCCTGGGTCACGCATATGGTAATTTTTGAGCCTTTTTCTTGAGTTTTAACTGACTTTCTGCTGTGTAGGATCCCGGTTATTGGCTGTTGTTACCCTTGGAGATACCGTGGCACCCCCTTTTATAACACACCTGTTCCTTATAAAAGTTGGGGGTGGATAAGAGGAGAGTGAATTCCACACGGTATTAGCAAGGGAGTATGGGAGAAAGACATGTCTTCCCCTTTAGTGGATAAACAGATAGCTGGGAAAGACCTGAGAATCCCTCTGTCTCTCTCCTATTTCCTTGCTAAGCACCTGACCTACACTACTTCATCTCCTGATTCCTGCAGTATGTACTTGGTGCCACACACATCTCCGCCAGTGACACTCAACATGAACACCAGACACAAAGTCCACATCCTGCTCCCAGCCCCAGTGGAGAAAGTCCCAAGAAGCCTGACTGGGTTTTTTGG